CTGCAACCAATATAACACCTATTATCTGTTAGCTCTCCACTTCAAACAGCTGGGTTAGTCCAGCAGCACACACTGATGTATTTCACTATATTATACATTACCATCTCTATAAGGAAGTCACTTAAATTACCTAAATGAGTTAGCTTATCTAAATTTCAGGTGACAAATTCCAACATGCAATACCCGACTTCAAAGTTTAAAAAACAAACAAAAAAAAACTAACTCATTAGAAAGTCAGGGAGTACAGGGCAATGAGGTAAAACATTTTTAGTGCCTTGGATGGCAATATTCTCCCACTTCAAGTGGATCAAATTCAGGGTTAATTTTAATCAGCTATCACATTCTCAAAGGTAAAATCGGGCCATGTTAAAATTTCATAGAGGAATAAAGAATAAGAACTCCAGGAACGCAAGCCAGCGCATAATACTGCAGCAAATTTAAGTGTTGTGGGGGGAGGAGGGTCTAGAATTCTATAATCAGTATAGTTTCTTTAAAATGAAGGCAAAATTAAAACCTTTCAGTCACTAAAGCTGAAAATCACCAAGCAGACCTACAGTACAAAAAAAATTCCTTCAAGCAGAAATAGGTCTACACAAAATAGTACTAGAGATAGTAAATATGTTGTTAAATGTATAGTATACTTTTTAAAAAGCTCTTTAAAAGATTACTGACTGTTTAAAATAAAAATTGTGTTTTTATGGGGTTCATTTGTTGAAGTATGACAACTTACATAGGGAGAAGTGAAATGAAGTACACTGTAATATTCTTACATGCCAATTGGTAGGTGTGTGCCTAAGGAAAGACTCATGTTAAGGATGTATAAACCCAAAAGCAGCAATTAAAATAACACAACAAAGAACTATAAAGACCAAGTAAATAAAGTGAATCACAGAATGACATAGAGTGATAAAGGAAAGGGAAGTAAAAGCAAAAATAAAAGAATTGAATTTTTATCAAATTAAGTCATTATATGAGGGCAGCAGACCCCGAGACCTAAACCTGACAGAAGTATTACAAGAAATTAAAGGTGGCCTGAATAACTGAGAAGACATCTCATGTTCATGGTCTGTGGGTCAGTACTGTTAAAATATCAATTTTCCACAAAATTGCATTAAAGAGTCAATGCAATCCCAATAAAACCCCTAGAAAATTTACAACCTGATTCTGAAATTTACATACAAATACAAAACTTAGAATAGTCTATAAACAATGTGGGGGGAAAGAAAGTCAGAGGACTAATTTTACCTGACTTTAAGACTTATTAGATCAAGCCCCGAGGAGCCACAGACTCTGCATCCCTGCACCCCCACAGGCAGTGAGGGGCCAAGAACAAGGCAAACATAGACCCCTCAGGGCAGGCAACACCCAGCTACAATGAGGACAGTTCTACCAGGAATTTAGGAACTGTGCCAGGCCGGCCCACGGCATGAAGGGACCATCACTGTGTGGTGCTACACAGTCCTGCGCCCTCTCCACACATGGGAACTTTAGGGGCAAATGATGCCCGTTCTCTGGATCACTTGGTTACACTGACTACTTTTAAAAGCCTGTTGAAAAGAAAAAGGGGCCAAAACCGTTTTTGGCTCTGGATAGAGCGTCAGCCTGCGGACTGAGGGGTCCCGGGTTCGATTCCGGTCAGGGGCATGTACCTTGGTTGCGGCACATCCCCAGTGGGGACCGTGCAGGAGGCAGCTGATCGATGACTCTCTCTTATTGATGTTTCTGGCTCTCTATCTTTCTCCCTTCCTCTCTGTAAAAAAATCAAAAAAATATGTTTAAAAAAAACACAAGTAAAAGAGAATGTAGCCCTAGCTGGTTTTGTTCACTGGATAGAGCATTAGCCTGAGGACTAAAGGATCCCGGGTTCGAGTCCAGCCAAGGGCACATGCCCAGGTTGCCTGATCATTGAATGCAAGTGTGGGGCATGCAGGACACAGACAATGACTCTCATCATTACCATTTCTATTTCTCTCTTCCCTCTCCTTTCCTCTCTGAAATCAAGATATATTTGAGGGGAAAAAATCTATTAGAAAGCCACAGTAATCAACACAGTTACTGGTGTAAAGACAGACAAATAGATTGATGAAATAAAACAGAGTCCAGAAATAGACCAAGATGTATATGGTCAATTCACTTTTCCTAAAAGAGCCAAGGATACTCAACAGGCATACGATAATCTTTCCAACAAATGGTACTGGAGCAACAGGCAACCATAGGCCAAACAAATAAATAAAATAAAACATCTTGATTCTTACACCATATACAAAAGTTAACTGAAAATAAATTATAGACTAAAGTATAAGATAAATCTGGGGGAGGGAGGGGGGCAATGTTAAAATATGTACACAGATAATAATTTAATAAAAAAATATTAAAAAATAAAGTATAAGATAAAGTCTTAGTGACCTTGGATTTGATGGTTTACGTAATACATAAATACTACTTAGAAAAGACAAACTTCAAAGAAAAAAGTATTAATCAGTCTTCATGAAATTAAATATCTTTGTTCTTTAAGCAATAATTTTAAGAAAATGAAGACTTTCTTTTTCTCAGACTAAGAGAATAAATTTGCAAAACATAATATCTGAAAAAAGGCTTTTATCTAGAGTATATAAAGAACTCATAATAATAAAAAGGCAAATAACCCAATACTTACATGGGGGAAAGATATGAACAGAAACTTTACCAAGATACACAGATAAGTAAAGATACCCAGCGTCATTAGTGATTATGGAAATACAAATTAAAACCACAAGAAAACATTACATGCCCATTAAAATGGATGAAAGTAAAAAGACTAACCATGCAAAGAGTATGTGAGGATGTGGAGCACAGTGGGACTCTGATAGATTGCTGGTAGTGATGTATAATGGCACAATCACTTTGAAAAACAATTTGGTAGTGAAATACACGTATGATCCCATCATTTCATTCCAATGCTAAATATTTAACTCAAGAGAAATGAACAACTTATACAAGAAGCTTTATTTGTAAAAGCCAAAGACTGGAAACTCAAATACTAATCAATAGGTGGAAAATGATGGTACATCCATACAACAGAATACTACCTGGCAATATAAACGGAATGAATTATTGATGCACACATATAGATAGTCGCCAAATGATGAAAGACAAAACGTACATATATAAGATGGATCCATTTTTATGTAATTCTAGAAAATTCAAATTAATCTATAGTAACAAAGCCAGTCAGTGCCTGGGAACATGAGGAATAACTAGAGGGTTTATAAGAGAACAAGGAAACTTTTGATGGTGGAGTGGGCATCTTCATTACCTTGGCTAACAGGGTTTCATGGATGTACACCTGTGTCAGATGCTCACATCTATTCCCAATTGTGTGTGTAGAGGATCATATTGACAGATGGAACTTGGCCAGGGTGAAAGTATTTACACCACAGAAACTGGAAAATGCCACCACAAAGTCAGGGCTTTTTCTTAAGACAGCTGGTTGTTAAACATTACCAGCCCATTGCTAGCTATACCATCTGTACTAAGAAAAGGGTAATATGCTAATTAGAGTGGATGTCTTCGGGACGACCTTCCGGACAAGCTGCAGCAGCTGTGAGGGACCCAGGCTCAGGCAGCTGTGAGTGGCTGTGAAGGGCTGAAGCTCAGACCGGCAGTGGCAGCAGCAGCAGGGTAATGGGGGCGGCCCCTCCCCCTGATCTGCCAGATCACCTCCCCCAGAGGGAGGCCAGACTGCGGCTTAGGCCAGGGGCCAAGGTAGAGGCGTTTAGAGGCAATCAGGCCAGCAGAGGGGGGCAAAACAGGAACAATCAGGCTGGCAGGGTGGCAGGAGGTCGAGCCAGGGGCGATCAGGCTGGCAGGCAGAGGCAGTTAGGGGCGATCAGGCTGGCAGGCAGGCAGGCAGGCGAGCGGTTAGCAGCCAGCAGTCCCAGATTGCAAGAGGGATATCCGACTGCCAATACAGGCCGGATCCCACAGGGTAGCCGGACATCCCCCGAGGGGTCCCTGAATGGAGAGGAACCCCTTCTCATTTTGTGCACCAGGCCTCTAGTACATACATAACAGCTTATTGAAATTCTTAATTTTTAATTGCCCCAAAGAATTCCAAAAACCATTAGGCTAAAAACTTGCCTTTATCAAGGTAAAAAGTATTTCTAGAGAGAAAAGCACAAAAGAGAGACTTCCAGACACTTATTCCTATCAAGAAAAACTCTTTTGCCCTGGCTGGTGAGGCTCAGTTGGTTAGGCATCACCCTGTGCACTGAAAGGCTGCAGGTTGGATCCTGATTAAAACGAATGCCTGAGCTGTAGGATAGATCCCCGGTTGGGGGGATGGGGAGGGGGGTGCAGGAAGCAAGTTGATCGATGCTTCTCTCTCTCAAAATAAATCAATAATCTTAAAAAAAAGACACCTCTTGCAGAGACATGCTTTAGTTGCCTGACCAAATGCTTCCACTGCCATCTTCCCACAGGCCTCACTGCTGACACATCTTGCCCCTAAGACCTGAGATTTTGGGGCTGGCTCTTTAGCTCTGTCTTGAAGGCTGCTGCAGGGGCTGCCACCTCCCCCCGCAAACACCAAGGACCCAGCACCTTGCTTCCCACAGCCACTCATGAACCCACAATACAACTCTAAGGCTCTGCTGGAAAGAGTACCCGCTTCCTACGTAACGGATTCCAACTCCAGCAATGAGATAAGAGGTTTATGACACCAATACATGTGTATCAGGCAAACCAACCACCAGAATGCCCAAATCTCATACTTTTACCAACTTCCTGGAGGTGATTTAAGCACAGAACCACCCCCCTGTCCTCCGCTCTTCAGGGCCCAGCCTGGGTCCTCTCTGTCTGCTTAACGTGGTGCGGGGAGTATCAGTGTGCTGAAGGTCCATCGTCTCACAGGCTCAAATTACAAACCAACCAACAAAAAGGCTCCCCATTACAGAATTCACAGGGAATTGATACTGCAGAAACATGACTTCCTATTTAATGACACGTGGGAAACATAAACCTTAGGGCTTTTTCGCCTGCACTGCGTAGAGATCTGACCGCTTCTGGCTAAGGATGGGGATTTGCTGGCGTATTTCAGCCACCTTCTTCAAGTCTGCAAAAACAGAAATGTGTATTATTAGTGAGATGTAACTCTTCACTAACCAAAGGGGTTTTTCCTCCCAAACAGAATAAAAACTACCAGAGTCTCAGCCAAGGAACTCAGTAATATAGGCCTTGTCTAGAGGCACAGATGGCCTGGCACAGCTTCTGGAGTCACTTAAAACCAAACCAAAAGAACTCAAAATAAACTGTAGCCTTCAAGACCTGGCCAAGAACCAAGGATAAACTGGGGAGGGGCAGGAGGGGTAGAGGAACTCCTGCCCCTGGCGGGCTGCCCCAGCTGTGGAGGCTGGCCTCAGGGCACCGGGGGTCCAGACACCTAGCCCACGCCCTGGGCCGGCAGACCTTACCGATGTCTGAGTACACGATCGTTTCTTCAGGGCCAGCTGTGGCCAGGACCTCGCCCCTGGAAAAGATTCAGGGGAGATGAGTGGGTTCACTGACATTTACTGACATTCAAGAACTCTGTTTTTTCTCCCCATTTGACAGGGCAAGGGGCAAGGAATCTGAGATTTAAAACCAGAAAGGAAGGCTACAAACTCCTGTTCTACCATTTGAAATGCTGTGTGGCCTTGGGCCAAGTCACTTTTAATAAATTATAAAATGGAAATAAAAGCTCTGCTAGGACTTAGAAAATTATGGAGTATATTTCCCGAACTGCAAACTCCTGATTTTCTTATTCCGTGAAATGAACATCTGGACCGGAGCCACTTACAGCCGAAAGGAGGTGCCCCTGCCCCCTCAGGAGTGCGTGTCCACAGGCGTCCTCGACCAGGGTGCTCTGGCTCTGCTCGTCAGCCCTGCCGGGGCTGCCCCGATCCGGGTGGCGAGGCAGGCCCTGGGCATGGCCAGAGCTGTGCGGCCCTCTTTCCATCCGTGCTGGGAAACCGCACCCGGCGGGAGCCCACACTAGGAGCCCACACTCCTTCCTAAGCCCGGGGAAAGGCTGACCTGCGCCGCCCAGCACAAAGCGGGGCTTCCAGCGCAGACCTCGTGAGTGCAGCCTCAAAGCTCAGCACAGGGTAACCTGGCCTCACACAGTGACTGGGTCCGTCCACCAGGCGGCCGCAAACAGACTTGGCACAAATGAGCTACAAACACAATTACTGATGCCGCTTAACTGAATCCTCTTCTATTCTTTTTCTCTTTCTTCCTCATTTTCCCTGGCATTCAGAGCTCTCTCTGTATTAATCCCAGGCACCCAGCCCAAAGTCAATGTAAGTCAGAAGGCCCCCAAGCCCCACAAATGGAATTCTGAAAAGGAAGCGGCCGGCCGGCCTGCACCAGAGCTCACCAGCAGAGCCAGGCGAAGCAGAGGTGCATGCCTAACATCTGGGCAGGGGACGTGAATCACGTCTGAGAAAACTTTCGGGCCGCCTTAATCCTTCCAGTTTCCCAATGCCCCCCAAATCCTGATGTGCAGGGAGTCTCTTGCTGGTCATATTTCCAAGGACTCCCCTTATCACATGCTTTAATCTGTGGGTCCTATAGAGTCCGAAGAGAGAAGCGTTAGGGACCCCACAGTGACCAGGGACCCTTCTCAGCCTTGTATGAGCACCCTGAAATTGTAGAGATTCGTATCTGTCTGTGTGCGTGTGTGAGATCATACAGATGTTCAGCATAAATCCAAGTTCTGAAGTCAAAATCCTGGATCCAAACACCAGTTGTAACCACTTCAGCCTGTGAACTTCAACCCCACCATCTACAAACCGGAAGGGAAGCCCCTGCGTTTGCACCGAGACCACGTGTAAGTGCTGTGTGGCTGCAGGCGGAGACCATGGTCCGCGCAGCAGCGCCCACCTGCGTGTGCACATGGCAGACTCGCACGCTGGTCCCACTGAGCAGTACAGTGCTCCGCCCTCTCAGAGGACAAATTCCGTTTTCTCACTGAACCCCCCATCCTCTCTAATTATTCCGGGGGCAGAATCCTCGCCCTGTAACTCATTCCTGCCTGAGGCCCAGTCGCCCAGTCTAAGTTTTAGCCAACAGCCGGGAGCTGGGGGCCTGTTTCACTAAAACTGACACCCGTCACTGCTGCCGTGTGTCCCCCACGACCCAATCTGACCGACAACGGAAGCCAGAGGAGGGGAAGGCGGGCGGCGGTCAGGAGGGCAGGGCCGTTTCTTCCTCCAGGGGAAGCTTCCTCACAGCGAGAGGCGGCACCGGGCCCCGCAGGTGAGGGCAGGGCCGGTCACCAATCAGACAACCCACCGCCCAGTGAGCTCCCGGCCAGCTGTCCCCGCTCAGGCCACTCACCAAGGACTCACGACGGTGCTGTGTCCCCAGGCAACGTAGGAGGCCTTGTCGTCGCGGGCCGGAGAGGCCGTGGCCACGTACAGCTGATTATCGACAGCCCTGCAGTCCACGGACAGAAAGCAGGGAAATCATGTATTTCAGATCTGAGGCACTTTCCTATCCTATCTTTCCTTTAAAAACTACGACAGGACAGGCTGGCTCAGACACAGAAAAAACACACAAAGCCATAGAACCCTCTCTTCAAAAATCATCTGATTACTTAAGCCAGTTCTCATTGGGGCAATTTTGACCAGCAGGGGACATTTGCCAGTGTCTGGAGACCTTTCTTAAAAAAAAAAAAAAAAAAAAAAATTGTTGTTGATTTCAGAGAGGAAGGGGGAGAAAGAGAGAGAGAGAAAGAGAGAGAGGGAGAGAGAGAGAGAGCGAGCGCTAGAAACATCAACGATGAGAGAGAATCACGGATTGGCTGCCTCCTGCACACCCCACTTTGGGGATAGAGCTGGCAACCCAGGCACAGGCCCTGACTAGGAATCTAATCGTGACCTCCTGGTTCATAGGCCAAAGCTCAATCACTGAGCCACACCGACCGGGTTGGAGATTTTTAAATTGTTATAATTGAGGGGGTTGCTATTAGCATCCAGTGGGTGGTAGTCAGACATGCTGCTAACCATCCTACAGGAGAGCCACCCAAAACACGGAACAATGTAGTCCAAAATGTTAACACTGCCACAGTGGCCAGACTCTGGCCTGAGCCAACCGGTAAAGAACTTCTCTGGGGTTAATGCAAGCCAAGAGGGCCTTGAGGGGGCAATCCACGTTGGGGGCTGTATGGCATGTCCATGCCAATGGTGGCCGTGCCATCTCTCAAGGTGGATCAGAATTTCAGGGATCCAGTCTGGGTACATCAAGCCACCTCACTGGGAGCTCTCTGGGCTCAGTCAATAGATCCAAGCTTTTCTTGCTTTCCACTTTTACTGCATTTATTAATATTTATGGGAACACACACCCCTACCCCACCTTCTACGATGCAACCAGGCAAACACCTCTACATCGCCCTGAAAAGAAATCACCATCATCTCTAGAAGGGAGAGCAGAAGCCACCTCTAGGCAGAGAGGATAGGGCCCTGACTAGGAAGGAGCAAAGGGACCATTCCAGGGACTGGGAAATGTCACATAAGTTGATCTTGGTTGTAGGTGGTACATATGTCAACATTCACTGACCTGCCTGTAGAGGCAAAATTAGTGCACTTTTCTGTAAATGTATTAACCTCAATTTAAAAAACATTTAATCAAGCCCGGCCAGTGTGGCTCAGTGGTTGAGCATTGACCCATGAACCAGGTGGTCAGGGTTCGATTCCCAGTTAAGGGACATGCCCAGGTTTTAGGCTCGATCTCCAGTAGGGGGCATGTAGGAGGCAGCCTATCAATTTTCTCTCCTCATTGATGTTTCCATCTCTCTTCACTCTCTCCTCCTCTCTGAAATCAATATATTTTTTTTTCTTTTTCTTTTTTTTAAACACATAAAGCAAAAACATTTAATCAAGAAACATATCATTGCCGAAACCAGTTTGGCTCAGTGGATAAAGCATCGGCCTGTGGACTGAAGGGTCCCGGGTTCGATTCCGGTGAAAGGCATGTACCTTGGTTGCGGGCACATCCCAGTGAGGGGTGTGCAAGAGGCAGCTGATCGATGATTCTCTCTCATTGATGTTTTCGGCTCTCTATACCTCTCTCTTCCTCTCTGTAAAAAAATCAATAAAATATATATTTTTTTAAAAAGCAAAGAAACACATTGTCTCTGACCAGCATTTCACGGTTTGCAGAGCACTTGTCACACTCCTTTTCCCTTCCATGTTCCATCCCCCTGCTACCTGCCTTCCACTGCTCAGCCTCAGGCGGCTAAGGGAACAGCAACTGTGACCCATCAGAGCGATGCCCAGCGTTTAGTGTTAGCAGCACAGGGCTTATAGCGAGGTTCCTGGCAGAGCATCCCCGGGCCCCGCAGGTGCTGTGGAAGTCGGGGCAGGTAAGCACCCCAATCAAACAGCACAGGGTCAGCTGTGTGAAGACCACAGCCCTCCCCCCCGGGCTGTCAGGCTAAAATACGCTGCTTTTCCTGGGCTACCGGGCTCTGAACACACACTCCATGGGTCTCCAATTCTCTGTAAAAGCTGCCGGCAACTGTCCCAGGGAAACCAGCTCCCATCTAATCACAGAAAATGAAATCGCTGCCCACCTGATGCACTAAAAGCTCTCGGAAATGCAAAAACCACAGTCCCCCAAAATCTAAGCAGTTGAGCCAAAACCGATTTAGCTCAGTGGATAGAGCGTCGGCCTGCGGACTGAGAGGTCCCAGGTTCGATTCCGGTCAAAGGCATGTACCTTGGCTGCAGGCACATCCCCAGTAGGGGGTGTGCAGGAGGCAGTTGATCGATGATTCTCTCTCATCGATGTTTCTAACTCTCTATCCCTCTCTCTTCCTCTCTGTAAAAAATCAATAAAATATATATATATATATTTAAAAAATCTAAGCGGTTGGTACTCTGGCTTCTGAAGAGAAGGTTCCCAGGAGAAGCCTTCCCTTTGGGCTGAAAGACGAAAAGATGCATCTATTTGAAATGCGATAGGATGCTGCTGCGGAATTGAGTCACAGGCACCATTCGGTACCAGGAAGGCTGGGACTTCACCGCCCTGAAACCTTCCCACAGAGAAACGCTGAGATGCCGGCAGGTGCGCTGACATGCTGTCTTACCGGCCTCGCTGAAGCAGCTCCCAGTGAGCCGGTCCAGTGGTCAGATTAAAGGCTCCGGGATAGACCAGCAGCTGGCAGCCTGGGAGAGGGAGGCGAGAGCAGGTGGAGAGAACACCCAACTCCCTGGCCCCTCCCTTTGTCCTCCACCCAGTGGGGACCCAGCTCCCACTTCCCCACGCATAAAAGGATGTCAGCCAGGTCAGACAGTGTCAGCAGCATTAGCTTATGGCTCTGCGTTCCCTCAGACACTCGCATGGTGCAGACGGACACGGGAGAAAAGTGGTATTGATGACCAAAACCACATGTGAGTTCACTTAAAAAAAAACTGGGGGGCGGGGGAGACTATCATTCAGATTTCTCTCGGCACCAGTGGGGCAGCTCTGCATGGCCGAGGACCACGTTCCATAACGCCCTTCAACTGAAATGAGGCAGTTGATCGATGAGCTTCCAGGCTCATGGACAAGACTCCACAGAGACTGCCGACCCAGAGCAGGCAAACTGCTCATCCACCTCACTGCGTTGAGTTCATTCAGAATCAGAGTGGCTCCGACAGTCCAGCAGGGCTGCTAATGCGTGCTGAGTGCCACACAAGGAGCTTTAGTAAGTTCTCTCTCCTTTGTCCTCACACCATCCCGATGAGAAAACTGGGAGCCCCACTGCTCTAGAAATGAAATCATTCACCCAAAGTACCATGCCAGGTAGTTCAGTGGTTGGCAAACTGCAGCTCGCGAGTTTGCCGCTCTGTCGACTAATGAGTTTGTCAACCACTGACCTAGACTCTTGATTCCAATAATCACAGGTTGTAGTTGTTCCTTATGATGAAGCCCCTATCCCAGTGGTCGGCAAACTCATTAGTTAACAAAGTGGAAAACCACAGCTCCAGAGCCGCCGTTTGCCGACCACTGAGGTAGGAAAAGAGTTGGAACCAGAACCAGATCTTCTGATGTTGTTTGGTGCTGGATGGTAGGACACCTTTATCTGCACCAAAATGTCACTGACTACATTCCCACCGCACCCAGCATCTAGGACTGTGTCCCGGTGACATCCACGAGGGACAGACATGTTTTCACTGCTACTGGGCTCCACGGGACTCTTCCCAAACACAGGAGCAGGAAGGGCTGGAGGCGTAGAGCAGATGTGTAAGAGTCTGGCTCCTGCCTTAGCCGCACGGAATGTTAAACCACAACCTCTAGAAAACCACTCTGTCCACTCACAGCAAGAGTCTGAGAAGCCCGTTAGGGGTGGAGAGATTAAGACCTCTCCTCCAGCTTTTCCAACTAAGGGCTCCCTTTATCCAGACTCAACCCTCCAGGCACCCACACAACACGACGACGGTGCTGCCTTACCTCTCTGCGCGTAGACTTGTGCAAGCTCTGCAAAGCGGATGTCGTAGCAGATGCCCAGGCCCACTTTGCAGTAAGCTGTTGACAGACAGGAAACGCACAGATGACAGTTAGCCTGCAGCACGGAGCGAGGGAAAAGCCTCCCTAGCTAACGTCACTGACTGAGGGGACACGGCGACACAGGCCCGTGGTGGACAAGATCTGTAAGCTGTCACCTCGTAAAGACATCATTTATGTCAGCAGAGCAGAGATGAGAAATTCATTCTAAGTAAATGCTTATTCTCTAAGTGAGAGGTGCTCAACTGTGGACTAGCAAGCACACTCCGGAAACGGTCCCACCGACAGGAGCTGTACCAAATGGAAGAGCGAAGTCATGTCAAACTCCTAGTTCTCCCCTCAGCCGCCCTTTCTATTATAGATCTCTGACCGTTCTCTGCCCTTCTCATGTCTGGCCTTTCAGCCAGGTTATGTAAAGACACTAGGGAGCGCTCTCGCTGGCTTGGCTCAGTGAACAGAGCGTTGGCCCACGGACCGCAGGGTCTCGGGTTCAATTCCAGTTAACAGCGTGTGCCTCAGCTTCAGGCTGGATCCCTGGCCTTGATGTGGGTGAGTGCTGGAGGCAACCAATTATTGTATCTCCCTCCCATCAATGCTTCTTTCTCTTGGTCTCTTCCATTCTCTCTAAAAATCATGGAAAAATATCCTGGGGGTGAGGATTAAAAAAAAAAAATTAGGGAGGGGCATAATAATAATAATTAAAAAAAAAAAAAAAAACAACAACAAAGGAATACCTGGTCCTCTTTTACTGGGACTGCAAAAGGAGGTGGACTTATCTGGTACGTACGAGTCTCAAATGTGGAGAAAGTATCACCAGGACTCAATGTTTTAGATTCTTGAAATGTGATTTTCCCAGGAACATCAATGTCAAACAGATGGAGCTGCAGCACAAATACAGGCTTCAGTTACCTCTTTCCCAGCAGAGTTCATGGCAATAAACACAATCTGTCCATGGCCAGATATGAGGGTGACTCACATAAGAGCAACTGTACAAATAGTACCGCAACCTGCCCAAGATGCGGCAATTACCAAAACCTTTAAAGCAGCTATTGAAACTAAGCTCAAGAGTATGAAAAAAAAAATGCTCATAATGAATTAAACAAATAGAAATATTGGTAGAGAAATAAAAGCTATAAAAAAGGAACCATATGAGCCCAGCTGGCATGGCTCAGTGGTTAAGCATCAACCTATAAACCAGAAGGTCACAGTTCGATTCCTGGTCAGGGCACATGCTGGATTTCGGGTTCCATTGTAGGGCATGCAGGAGGCAGCCTGTCAATGAGTCTCTCTCATCACTGATGTTTCTCTCTCTCCCTCTCCCTTCTTCTCTGAAATCAATTATATATATATATTATATATATATTTATATATATATAATATATATATATACACACACACACACACATACACACACACACATGTATAACTTTTTTTAAAGAACTGAAAAATTTTAGAACTGAAAAATTCAATATCTGAAATTTTTTTTATTTTTTATTTTTTTAAAATATATTTTATTGATTTTGTACAGAGAGGAAGGGAGAGAGATAGAGTCAGAAACATCGATGAGAGAGAGTCATCGATCAGCCGCCTCTTGCACACCCCCTACTGGGGATATGCCCACAACCAAGTTACATGCCCTTGACCAGAATCGAACCCGGGACCTTTCAGTCCCCAAGCCGATGCTCTATCCATTGAGCCAAACCGGTTTTGGCAAAAAAATTTTTTTAATAAAAAAAGCAGGCAAAGGTTTATTAAAAACCTGGCCAGGACAGCCGCGGGAGCACCACACGCAGGAGGGCCCCACACGACCGCCAGTGTCAAATTTTTAAACATTTCACTGGATTGGCTTATAGGAGATTGGCAATTACAAAAGAAAGATTCAGAACATAGATTAGTGGAAACTGTCCAATTTGAAGAAGAGAAAGAAAAAAGATTGGAAGGAACAGTTTGGAGGAACAGTATCAAAACTGGAATCCTATAAAGAGAGAATAGGACCGAAATATATATAATAAAATCATGCCCCCAAGTTTCCAACATATGGTGAAAGACTTAAATGTCAAGTTTCATGAAGTACGACACATACAAAAAAAACACCTAGGCACATGAGAGACAAAATAGTAACCACTGGAAAATACAAAGGGGAATCTTGAAGGCAGGAAGAAAAAACACAAGTTACACACAGGGAACAGCAATACAAGTTACCACTGAATAATCAGAAAAAAAGAAAAAAGAGGCTAGAAGGTAATTGAAAAAGATCTCTCCAACTATTGGGGGGAAAATAAAGCTGTCAACTCCGAATTCAATCCCACCAAAGTCTCTGTCAAGAATGAAGGCAAACTAAAGATGTTCATAAACAAAAAAATCAGAAAATTCATAGCTAGCAGATCCTCACTATAAAAAAGCTAAAGGAGGTCTTTCTTTTTGAAGGTAAAACTATCAAATAGAACTAGGATCTTCAGGAAAGTAAGAAAAATAAAAATGGTAAATATTTGAGTAAACAAAAGATTTCTATCTTCCTTTCTTTAAAACATACACACTACTTTAAAAATACATTCTTTGTGGGATTTACAATGTATGTAGACACAATATGCGTGTCAACCATAGTTTAAAAATGAAAAGGGGTTAGAAATTTCACATGAAGTAATATAATATTAACTCAAAGTAGACTGTGATAAGGGTGCATATTGTAATGCATAGTGCAACAACTTTAAAAAAAAAAACAGCAGAGGAAGTATAATTTAAAAGCCAATTGACAAAATGGAATTCTAAAAAGTACTCAATTAATGCCAAAGATGCAGAAAAGATGGTAGAAAAACAGTGAAATATCTATATGCTTAAATCCATCCAAATCAATAATTATCTATATGTATAAAAGACTGTCCTGCTGTGCACTGACCACCAGAGAGCAGATGCTCAACACTAAAGCTGCCATGACACGAACTGGCCATTTAAAAATAAATGGCACCACGGACCTGGCACCCACAAACCAACACTCTGCTCCCCCCAAGCAGGACACAATCCCCATCACCACCCCAGAATGACACCCCATAAAATCACAGCCAATGTTGCCAAGACTCCATGGTGCAAGATGTGTCCACAACCCAGCCTAGCCTGGAAATGGTGACTGTGGGCACTGGGTAATGACGTCATGTAGCAAGACCTGGCTTCCTCTCCCTAGCACTTAGCCTCCTGGAGTTTCTTCAGCCCAGGAACACAACTTGTTTTATAGCCAGGTGCAAACATTTTACAGTTCAACCAAATGTCTGTGAAGCGTTTTCCCGTTCTTCATTTCACTCAATCCTCACAGAAGTCCTACAGTAGATAGATAGGAGTCTTGGTAGAATACTATTTTTTCTTTTTTAAAATCAATCTTTATTGTTCATATTATTACAAAGGTTCCTCATTTCTTCCCCCTCCACCACGTTCTCACCCCACCCTCTGCCCTTTCCCCACCCCCATAGGTGCACAGTTTATGTTCAGTCTCTTCCCGCATCCACTGCTCCCCTTTACCCCTGAGAATTGTCAGTCCACTCCCCTCCCGTATCTCTGAATCTATTATAATCAACAGTTAATATTGTTCATCAGGTTTTTTAATTTACTTGTTTTTTTTGTGTTTTTTTAATTAATAAACTTTTATATTTTTAAGAATAAATTTTAAAATCTAATAATTTTAAACCTTGTTTTTTCTGCCCTGGGAACTGAGAAGCAAACTTGTTTACATGTAAATTTGCCCTTAGGCTATCAAAAGGTGCAGCCATTCAAATGTAAATGAACACACTGTTTAAAGATAGCTGCTGGCTGGAATTTGATTACCTGTTCTGGGTGGGAAGGGATTGTCCTCCCCTTTCTCCATTAAAATTAAGGTGTTAGCTTTAAAACCTCTTCTTGGCAAGAGACCTTAAACTTTCAGAACTTTAAATTTTTCAGATAGTAAATCAGTTACTTAGCATTTTCTCAAATCAATACCTTCACATGCCCAAGGATACACTTCACACAACAGACACTTCCAAATAGATCAACCAACCTCATCCAGACCCCACACAAGGCATTCACAGATCAACACCCCAGCGCTACAACAACTCAACACATCCAGATCTAAGCCTTCATCACTTGATTCAGCAGACCCTCAAGTTCCCCAAAAAGTTTCCAGCCATGTCTGAGAGACAGCCCTGGGGCATGGGCAGGCGAGGAGTGAGCCGTTCCGGGCCCGGCTGCTCCTGGCCTGGCCTCTGTTGCTCCGGGCTGCTCTACAACCAGCTGCTCCGGGTCTGGCTGCTGCTGCTTGGAGCCCGATTGCTGCCGCTCCGGGCCTGGATGCTGCTGCTCCAGGCCTGGCTGCTCCCTACCTGGCTGTTCTGAGCCCGGCTGCTCCGGGCCTGGCGGCTCCCGGCCTGCCTGCTCATGACCCGGCTGCTCTGGGCCCGGCTGCTACGGGCCTGGCTGCTGCTGCTCCGGGCCAGAATACTATTTTCTTTTCACAAGCAAGCCATGAACAGCAATATTAAAATATTACTTCTAATTAATTTCCTTTCGATGTGCACAAATCCATGCACCAGGACACTAGTATTCACTATAAATGCAGTAACTGCTCCAGTTAAAGGCAAAGACTGTCAGAATGAATAAAAATGCAAAACCCAACTGTATGCTGCCTATAAATTTAAAAAATAAAGACATACATAGCTTGAAAGATTAAAAAAAAGTCACACCAAGATTAAGTACAGAGGAAAATCCAAGATGGCTGCACAGGTAAACACCTAGCCGCAGCCGCACACAACAATTTCAATAAAATACAACTAAAATATAAAATGGACATTACCCAGAACTACAGGAAAGTCGATTGACTGAAAATTCTACAACGAGAAGCAAGGAGAAAACCAGAAGGAAGAGCAGAGGAGCTGTAAAAGCCTAAGGTACAGAGACACACGGCGCCCTCGAAGAGGACGGAGCCGGAGAGGAGGGGTGGCTGAGTGCCTGGCTGGGAAGGAGATAAAAGCTCCGACTATGCTGAGCTCCAGTTCTAGGCCAGATCCTGGGGCCCAGGCTCAAACAGAGGGAGCCGGGGCTGTGAGGTGGAACCCCGGGGGAGCGGCGAAAGGCAGAACCCCCAGAGGCACGCACATTGTGCGCAGAGGACGGATTGTTGACTCTGCTGCTAGATTGCCCTAGCGGGAAGGAGACAAAGGCTCAATTGTGCTGGGCCCCAGTTCCGACTGCTCTGAACCCCAGTTCTAGGCCAGACCTTGGAGACCCAGGCTTGTACAGAGGGAGCCAGGGCTGTGAGGCAGAATCCCAGGGGAGCAGCGAAAGGAGGTCCCGGAGGCACACACATTGCGCGCAGAGAAGGGACGGTTGGCTGTGCCATGGGATTGCCCTGGCGGAAAGGAGACAAAAGCTCCAGACTACTCTGAACGGCACCTCCAACTTCACTTCCAACTGAACTGAACCCCAATTCTGGGCTCATTGGGGGAGAGCATAGACTGTTTGGTAGCAGGCGAAAATCGAGGGCCCCTTTCTCTCAAAGGTGCTTGTAGTGAGTACTGAAGGACCCTGGGGAATACTGAGACTCAGGAACCACATAGGGCGGGGCTGACGGAAGCCAAGGCTGTAGGCTCCACCCTGAAACCCTGCCCCATCCAAGCAGAACACAGAGACTTTTAAGGCTACCAACTCAGGGAAGCTGCGAAAATGCCGAGACAAGGAAACAGATCACAAACGAAAGAAATGGAGGACAAAAAACGACTGGATATAGAGTTCAAATTTATGCTTATAAGGCTTTTCAAGAATTTCCTAGAAAAGGTCGATAAGACCTATGAGGATATGAAAAGGGATCAACTAGAATTAATAAGGAATCAACAAAGAAATAATAAGGGATCAACAAGAAATAAAGAATACATTGTCTGAAATAAAAAATATTATGCAGAGTCCTAAAAACAGAATGGTGGATCGCAAGAATCGAGTCAAAGATTTGGAACATAAAGAGCCAGAAGACTCTCCTCCGCAAAAGCAAGAAGGCAAGAGAATCCAGAAAGTTGAAGATAATATAAGAAACCTCTGGGACAACTTCAAGCAAACCAACATCAGAATTATGGGGGTCCCAGAAGATGAGAGAGAGCAAGATATCGAAAACATACTGAAAGAAATAGTAACAGAAAACTTCCCCCACCTGGTGAAAGAATTAGACTTACAAGTCCAGGAAGTGCACAGAACTTCAAACAAAAGGAATCCAAAGAAGACCACACCAAGACACATCATAATTAAAATTCCAAGAGCAAAAGACAAAGAGAGAATATTAAAAGCAGCAAGAGCAAAGCAGGTAGTTACCAATAAAGGAACACCCATACAATTGTCAGCTGATTTCTCAACAGAAACCATGCAGGCCAGACGGGAATGGCAAGAAATATTCAAGGTGATGAATAGTAAGAACCTACAGCCAAAGATAATCTACCCAGCAAAGCTATCACTCAGAATCGAAGGCCAGATAAAGAGCTTCACTAATAAAAAAAAGCTAAAGGAGTTCATCACCACCAAACCAGAATTATATGAATTGCTGAAGGGGGTTCTTTCAAAAGAGAGAGAAAATAAAGATAAAAATTATGAACAACAAATACATAACTATCAATAAGTGAATCTAAAAACCAAGGAAATTAAAAAAAACCTGATGAACAATATTAACTGTTATATATAATAGAATCAGAGGTATGGAAGGGGAGTGAACTGACGATTCTTGGGGAAAAGGGGAGAGGGTGATGTGGGAAGAGACTGAACATAAACTGTGCACCTATGGATGAGGACAATGGGGGGTGGTGAAACGGCAGAGGGTGGGGTGGGAACCTGGTGGAGGAGAGCAATGGGGGGGGGGAGAAGAGGAACATTTGTAATAATATGAACAATAAAGATTTATAAAAAAAAAAAAATTAAGTACAAGAGTGGCTACAGTATTATCAGAGATAAAATAAACTTCAAGAAAGAGAGCATTACAAAGGCAAAAAAAAAAAAGAAAAAGAAAAAGGAAAAGCAGAACAGACATTCCATAACAATAAAAGAATGATTAATAATCCTAAATGTACATGCATTACTACTGCAAAGATGACAACTCTCCCCAAATGATCTCTATATATTCAATGCAATCCTTACTAAAATTCCTGCAGGTTTGACAGGCCAAGTCTAAAATTTATATCAAAATGCAAATCCACAAATAGCCAAATGTCCCACCCAGTCAAAATGCCTGATGTGTGTACAATACAATGAGAAGAAACAGGGGACTTCATAGTAAATTCTCAAGAGGCAATGAGACTTGGCACATTTCCTACTTACCTTTCTGTGTTTTACCAGTAAAGCTCCATTAGGCCCAAACACGGCACAGGTGTTATATAATTTCCCAGAATCCTCTTCAGGAATGGAACCTTTTATTGAGAGGAGAAAGATGGCAGACACAGAAAACATTCTGAACAAAGCAATCTTTTGGAACTGGACAGCGACTTGATAAACTGTCACTTATGTCTAACAATGCAGTTTACTATCTTGTAAGGGTCATTTAACCAGTTGTTTTCCTTCTTAAATACAATCTTTCAGAAATTAATTCCAGAGTGTAAATAACTAGGTCAGATGCTAAAGTTTCAAAAATATCTGAATTTAGCTTTGATCTTGAGCAAAATTTAACCTAAAACACTGAAGCAACATGGGGAATTCACTGCTGCTCAACTTAAATTCACCAGGCCCTCCTGCAATACACCTGCATCCACAAGGGCCTCCTGCCGGACATGGAGCCACATATCTGTCCGTCACTGACTGTGGTTCCCAGTCCTGCCTCCTCTTGCTTTGCCTTCTTTTTCCACCTCTTACTCATTTCTAATTCTTAATATAGCATAATACAGAAATAATTTTGTTTGCAGTCCTTATTAAACAGTTTTACTGTACCAATTTTTTTAAGCAAACAGAACATTTTATAATTTATTTTACAACCACATAAAGCTACCTTGATGTATGTAGCCTCTTTAAGAAAAACAATTTTCGCTGAAACCGGTTTGGCTCAGTGGTAGAGCGTCGGTCTGCGGACTGAAAGGTCCCGGGTTCGATTCCAGTCAAGGACATGTACCTTGGTTGTGGGCACATCCCCGATAGGGGGTATGCAAGAGGCAGCTGGTCGATGTTTCTCTCTCATCGACGTTTCTAGCTCTCTATCCCCCTCTCTTCCTCTCTGTAAAAAATCAATAAAAATATATTTAAAAAAAAAGAAAAACAATTTTCTTTTTTTTTTGCATGTCATCCTTGCTAATCTCTGTATCGTTCCAATTTTAGTATATGTGCTGCTGAAGCGAGCACAAGAAAAAGAATTTTCTTAACCCTGTATTAGTGAAATGAAAGACACTCAGGTATGGTTTTCTTTCCATACTTCCACCTGCGCCTTCGCTCCCACCCCTTCTCCAGGGAAAATCATCATTACCAGTTCAGTGTGTGTCCTTCTACAACACTGACTGTGTCTGACATGCAAAACTACATATGAAAATCTACAACCTTTTGTGTGTGGGATTAATATGAATGCGAGTATTTGTTCATGTCATATTGAACCTACTCTTGTCCCACTTCACAGTATGTCTGGATGAACTCTCCCCATTACCACATTTAGACCTACCTCATTCTTTTCAATGGCTAATTCGTATTCCCTGGTTTAAGTGCAACAACAAAAATTATCCATGTGCTTTTAATGTCCCACCATTATACCTTAAGGGTAGGAAGTTACCTCCAATGAGATATATGCTGCACTCCTTTGCTAGTAGTGAGAGCTTGTTTGTGGATTCACCGGGAATTTTCTCTGCATATTCAGGAAAATAGCTCGTGCCATATGGAGAATTAAAGCATTCCTAGAATAATGTTAGCAGAGAGAAAGAGAGAAAAAAAACATCAAAACATCCAACCCATTTTAAAGTCCTGCTGTAAGAAGACAGAACCGCTGCTTCCAGCTCTGCTCTGAAAGAGATAACACACACACAACTTCCTCCCCCCACCCCTCTCCCTCAGGTTCGAGGGCTGCAGAACCTGTAGCCACAGGCAGGTGTCAGCAGCTGGCTCAGGCAGGCTGAGAAGAGACAGGCACCTGTGCTCAGCCAGACCCTGGTCATCTCGGCAGAAGGTGGGAATGGCCTCTCCCTCGAGTGGACAGGAGGGCTGCACATTCCCAGGGCACCCAGGCCACCACACGGGCTCCCTCTCAGGACTTCGTTAGGACGAATCCATAGGCTCAAAATTACATTAACTATGGAAAGCAATAAAGCCTAGGACTGGAAAAATACAGAAGCTTCGAAAGCCACAGAAGGTAAGACATATCCTCATCTGTAAAATGAACTGTTTCTCAGCTCCCTTCCAGCACGAGCATCCTGACCCAGCGGACCTCATTCCCCAGGACACGTCTGTCTTCCCCAGCTCTGATATAAAAGAAAAGCAAAACCACTACACTTTGGCTCTAATTCATTTGCCTTGCATTTACTGAGATTGCCTGTGCTCCGCACACTATGCTAAGGAGCTCAGGCTGACAGCCTGTACAAGACGAGAAGCAGAGCTGAATTCAAGTGTTTCACTCCTGGTCTTCAACTCTAATGCCCGAGCAGCACAAACCAACAGCAGGCCACGGTTAGGGTACAAGACCAGGTGAGTCCCAGGACAGGAGTGGAAGCGAAGACGGGATTAACATTAAGATCTCGAGCTCCCCTGCTAAAGATTCCTACTCACTGGCCTTATCTGTGATGGCCTGGAGCCCAATGTGCAAGGCAGTCCTGAGAATTCTCCCGTCAATCTGAGCAGGGCTTTCAAAGGGCTGCCTCCTCCCCAGCGGGGGAGAGGGGAGGAGGGGCTGTCCAGAATAGTTCCACCACTGACCCTGCAGGATCCTTCTCTGGAGCTAACCCCCTACTTGAGGGCAAGCTTCAGCTGGCTGTTTTAAAAGAAATCACCTAGAAAAGAGATGCAGAATCCTACATTTAGAAAGACACCACAGGCTTTCTAAATGTCTCTAATAGTTTAAGTTTTCAAAAAAAGTTTTTTTAAATGTTGGAGTTTTAGCTATAAAATCAATACATCCTGGTCCTGTAAAGAATTATACAAAGAGCCTTGGCTGGGCGGCTCAGTTGGTTGGAGTGTCGTCCAATACACCAAAAGGTTGCAAGTTCATTCCTAGTTAGGGTGCATATGGGAGACAACCGGTCAATGTTTCTCACATCGATGTTTTTCTTTTTTTCTCTCTCTCTCCCTCCTTCCCTCCTTCCCCTACCCCTCTCTAAATATCAAGAGAAAACATACCCTGGGGAGAGGATTAAAAAAAGAAGAATTAAATAAGGAAAGAAGGGAAATATCCGAGGTGGGGTATTTCAGCTTTAGGTAAGTCCCTCAGCCAACTAGGGTTCAGAGCAGAGGAGGTGATCCTCACGTTGAAGACCTATAACTGCATGGGCACGTCCTATCCCGGAGGCCCCTGCGAGGGTCATCTTTCAGACAATCAGGACACAATCCTGGCCCCCAGCGGGCCTTGCTGGACCCGGACACAAGAGGAAAACCAGAGCTGGCAGACACTGTTCCCTGGGGCCCACTGTGCCCAGAAAGGGGTGGCTCCTCCATACTTACTGGCAGAGAAACTATTTTTGCTCCTTGGGAGGCTGCCTTCCGGACAAGGCTACAAGCTCGATTGAGATTATCCGATTTGACGGAAGAAACTTGAAGTTGGATGAGGGCCAAGCGGAAAGCTGAAGAAGAAGAGAAAACACGTGTCAGAAGATCTGACTGCTGGATCGGAGCGTTCCTCACCGGAGGACAACGCTGCCCGCCAGGACAGCTGGCAGTGTCTGGAGACATTCTGGACTGTCACACTGGTGGGTTGCTACTGGCATCTAATGGAAAGAGGTCAGAGATGCTGCTGAATCTGCCACAATGTATAGGGCAGTCCCTCACAACAAATTATCAGTCCAAAATTTCAAGCACGGTGATGTTGAGAGACCTTGGCGAGCAACTGCCATGGGCAGAGCCCCATGCCACGCACAAGAGCCTGAAGTGAAATAGGCAGGGCCAGATTTTTACTTAAAATGAGAACAGGGCTTGAAGGAAGACAACTAGGTTTGAATACACAACTATTCCTTACTATTTGATCTTGGGCCTCACCTGCCCCTTATCTGGGTAACTGAGGGCATTCCAGTACAGACAGTGAAATCCCACTGGGAATGGGGCAGTGGGTCATGAGGAGGGGAGACACCTGCCTCAAGTTCCTCATTAGGGACTGGGACTCAACACCTAAGTGCATCTGCTAACAGGAGGGGGAGGGTGGCAGCTGGTGGGCTGCAGATGTGCCTAATCACAGAGCAGGGCTCCTGTGCACTTGTGAGGGTCTGTATTCAACCCATAAATATCCCTATGCCCAAATGACTGCAATATTTTTGCTCTTTTTAAAAATTTTTATTATTGTCTAAAATTTTATATATTTCTTTTTCCCCAATTGACACAACCCCCTCTCTCCCCAGCCATTCACACTCCGGGTAAGCCCCCATCGCCCCAGTGTCTGTGTCCATTGGTTATGCTAATACTAAAGGCCCCATGCACGAAGATTCCTGTAAGAATGGGTCTTCTGCTGAAACTGGTTTGGCTCAGTGGGTAGAGCATCGGCCTGCGGACTAAAGGGTCCCGGGTTCGATTCCGATCAAGGGCATGTACCTTAGTTGTGGGCACATCCCCAGTAGGGGGTGTGCAAGAGGCAGCTGGTCGATAACTCTCTCTCATCAATGTTTCCAACTCTCTATCCCTCTCTCTTCCTCTCTGTAAAAAATCAATAATATATATTTAAAAAAAAAATGTTACCATCTTTAAAAAAAAAAAAAAAAAAAAAAAAGAGTGGGTCTTCCTTCCTCTGGCTGCCAACACTGATTCTGCTCTGGCACTGGAGCTGCCTTTCAGCCTTCCCATGTTGCCCAGAGACCCAAAGCGACTGGGGTGGTGCAGAATGCCTGCGTCATCACCATGGCGACAAAGCAGGCATCCCGCCCCCAGCTTCCAGGTGCTTGTGTATGCAAAATAACCTGCCATCTTCGTTGAGTTAATTTGCATACTCACTCCTGATTGGTTGGTGGGCATTGTGAAGGTACAGCCAATTTGCATCTTTCTCTTTTATTAGTGTAGATGAGGACCACAACATTAAGTATCAAATAAAAACCACCATGAGATGTTGAGACACTTCAAAGGAAAAGCTGACAGCACTTTTTCCTGCTATCTTAACAATGCCCCACATCTTTATTGGGGACTGGACCCCACAAATTATGTGGCCAGCCCTGCCAACAGATCTGTGGTCAGTCTTAGGGCAAAGGGGTCTGGCTTATTCCTTCCGTGAGGTGGTAGCTACTCCCTACACTTGCTTTCCTATATTCTTTAGAGTTCTCTTTTAGCTCTTATAGTAATCACCTTTTAGTGGTTAATAATTTTTTATATAAAACTGTCCCTGTTCAAGTGACTGGTGTGGTTTCTGTGTCCTATGTGGACCCTGACTGATACACAGTGTTTGCTCATGGTCTGAGGTGAGCCTGCTAGTTCAGGATTAGCAGTAATGCCCTGCCCTCGCTTCCCTATGCACCCCTGCTCTACAGTGTGAAACCCCCACCACGAGAGAGCACGCACTCTGGGTGTCCTGAACCTGTGCAAACGTCCTCGGAAGAGGCAGGGCTGACAGACCTGGCCTTTGATGAAGGCCTGTTTGGCTCACGGTTAACCCTGAAGGGAAAATGCAGACGTCGCATTCCTTGGCTTATGAAGTGAGAAGAGCTTAATTTAACCCTGAATGCAGCTTGATAAGCAGTTTCAGAATCTGGATGAAAACAAAGGAAACTAAATTAGGGAACAAAAGCTGGGATTACTTTGGGACAAACAAATACGTTGAGAACATTACCAAAACCATTACATGTTTCCACACTAACTCAGAAGCTGGGCTTTGTCTCTGCTTCAGAGGAGGAATGGGGGAGGGTTTGAAGTCCACACAGCTATTACTGGCTTCCCTCTCCCCCATCCTACCCAGAAGGCAGCTCCTGAATCAGGCTTGGGATTGCTTGCATTTTACAAATCGCCTGCTCCACAGAGAGGATTGCAGCAGGGCAATTCACCACTGGGGAGTGCTATTACCTCAGCTGTAAAATACAAATACAATGATTTCCTAGGTCCCTGGCTGCCCTAAAAGTCATCGTAGTCTAACAATGAAGGACTTACCCAGGGGAAAAAATACACACAATACGTGCAAAGACCAACATGGGACCATAGGAACACTTTGTAAATAAGGAAACAGGAAGCTTGCAGAGGCAAAAGTTGCACAGTCTGTGAACAGTGGCAGAGTAACAATCCAAGCCCAAATCTAGAACAATAACGCAAGATGGGCACCTTGTTTGTTTGTTTGTTTGTTTGGAGGGGGGGGTTGTCATGATTTGAAAAAACTCCTTAACTTAGTCAGACAGCCACCACTAAGAACCACCTCAGACTCTGCCATGCCTGCCTCTCACAGGATGCAGTCACATCCAGAGGGAGGGATGTGAAAGGACGCCCACATGACGATCCTGAAAAATCGTTCAGCCACCAACTTGCACTCTAGGTTGAAATAAAAAACAAAGAGCAGTTCCACGAATTTCCACACCTTATCATCTCACGGGGGCCTCCCAAGACGCCCACGTAAGGGCACTTGTGCCCATTTCACAGGTCACGAGGTTAGATGTCTCGCTGACATGGGAAGTTACTGACTGGTCCAGGGCTGTGAGGCTCCAGGTCTCCAGGCTGTCAGTCCAGAGCACCGCACTGATGGTGTAAAGAAATCTGGCCCAGGCCTCGGGGCAAACTCCGCGCTGGGGCCGACCCAGGAGGGGGCGGTGGAACTAACACGATAACCCAACCCCTAAGCTCAATGTCCAGAAGCAGAAACGACTTGCCCAACTTTTGGCTCAGGAGTTGGGGGGCGGGGGTGCAACGTGGAGCACAGGAGTGCTATTACCTCAGCCCAAACCGAAGACAACAGGTGCTTCCGTTTCACGTGACCGGGCTCAGGCCACCGCAAAACTCAAGTTCAAACATCAGCCTCTGGTGAAAAGGGTGAGAGCAATCCCGCTGGCCATCCCGCCCCGGGAGCGAAGCGTCCGCCCCCAGGAACTCCGCAGGCAGAGGCTCCCCCGAGGTGCCCCGGCTGTCACACTGCGGAGGGTCCCCGCAAAGGTTCTCTGAGGGGCGGGGCCTGCCCCTCACAGGAGCGCCCAAGCTCCCGCTCAGGGGCTCCGGACCCGCCTCCAGGCTCTGCCCCGCGGGGCGCAGGGGGAGCCCGGGGGGAGCAGGCGCCGGCCCGCCGCCCCGCCCGCGCCCCTGGAAGCCGGTACCCGCGAGTTCGCCGGCCCGCGCTCCGCCCCCCTCTTCAAGCCCCGCGGACCGGGACAGGGAAGGGCACGGACGGCGCGGGAAGCCCTCGCCGGCGCCGCCCCGAGGCCGCGCTACTTACTGGCCATGGCTCTCCCGGGGTACACCATGCGCGCCGCTGGGGAGCTGCAGCCTCAGGACGGACCCAGGCAGCGCCGGGAGGGCGGGGCCAAGACGCGCCGGAAGGGGCGGGACCAGCACCCGAGGCCCCGCCCCTCTTATCACGCACTGGGCGGGGCTTCCTGCTGGACTTCCGCCAACTCCTGTCCTTCACTCGCAGTCGGCGACCACGTGCCAACCAGAACCCGCGGCTTCGGCACGGCCCTCAGGAGAGGACGGCCCCGGAGGCAGAGGGACCAGCGGGCGGCCTGAGTGACTGTAAGGACCGGCCTCTGGCTCTCAGACAGGGCCTGAGCCTGTGGCGGGCGGGGTGGGCGCTGTGCCTGGGAGCGGGTGAGCTGATTGCCTGGAGCCATTGGAACGAGTGGCGGTAACTGGGGCGGAACTGGCCAGGTTGGGGAGGCACTCAGGCCCTAATGGGGCCCCACTGCTAGGGCTGGTAGCTGCTGAGGGAGGGAGAGGGACCCACGGAGGGTCCAACTCAGTATCCTCAACAATGCAGGCCTCTCATGCACTGAAGTCTGTTTGGTGATGTTGTTTTAGAATTTTTCCATTTATACTCACTCGCCAGGATTGCTCTTTGATTTTTGTGTTTTGTTTGTGCTTTTGTCAAGTTTAGAGATCAAAAATTAAAAGAAATAAAATAAAAACTTGCTATTCTTTTAAGTACATCAAGTGTTCTTTTGTTTTTGTTTTTTTTTTATTAAGGTATTACTACATATGTGACCTTATTCCCCCATTGCCCCACTCACCCCCCTCCACTTATGCCCTCATTGGATAGAAACTTATGCATGCATACAAGTCTTTGCTTGATCTCTCCCCCTCTCTCCATCATCCTCTTGATGGTCTGATCGATGCTTCTCTCTCTGTTTATCTGTTTATGTTGTTCATTATATTCCACAAATGAGATCATGTGATATATATCTTTCACCAACTGACTTATTTTGCTTAAGATAATGTTCTCGAGGTCCATCCATGCTGTTGCAAATGATAAGAACTCCTTTTTTACCACAACATAATATTCCATTCTGTAGATGTGCCAGTTTTCTAATACATTCATCTGCTGATGGGCACTTAGGCTGTTTCCAAATCTTAGCTATGGTGAATTGTGCTCCTATGAACATGATGGTGCATATATCCTTTCTGATTGGTGTTTCTAGTTTCTTGGGATATATTCCGTATTTCCCTGAAAATAAAACATCCTCCGAAAATAAGACCTACTTACAGGTTTCTTTCTGAGTGAAATATAAGGGATCCCCCAAAAATAAGGCCCCCCCAGGCTCTGTCTCAGAATGAAAAGTAATTTACCATAAACTGGTCGCTAGGGCCGCCCCGACGTAACCAGTGACATTATGCGGAGTCCTGACGTCACTGCTGTGTGGAGGCGGAGCGGAGGTCGGAGTGAGCAGTGAGCGCGGGGCAGGAGAGAGGAGGAGACTTTCGCAGACGTGTATAGAAGAACAGGAGGATTAGAGCTGACAGGACGCGGTGAAGGTGGTGAGTGCTGCTCTGTCTCTGGTGACACTACCTGATGCTCGCGGCCACCCTCATGATGACTGAAGGTTCTGTCAGTGGCAGACCCTCTCAAGCCCAGATCCAGGCCCCAGCAAGCCCAGTGACAGTCCCCAGGCAGGCCCCAGGGGGTAAATGTCTGATAAAGGGGTAGGGGGAATGTCTGGTGAAGGTGTTCAGTGGCACAGGGGTGGGGGGAGAGGGATCACTTAAAATGACACAGGAGGATCAGAGGAGGCAATCAAAATGACACAGGAGGATCAAAAAGGGATACTAAAATGGTAATCCCCCCCCCCCTGATTCTCCTGTGCCATTTTGATTCCCCCCTCTGATCCCCTCCTGTGTCATTTTAAGTGATCCCCCTCCCCCCACCTTGATACCCCAATTCCTTTTTTTTACCCCTAGAAATGAGCGCAAAAAGAAAAAGCTACTCCGTGGAGTACAAGAAAGTAATCTTGGAAGACTCTTGGGGCCAAAATCTTACTGCTTTCTGCAAAGAGAAGACGTTGAGTATCCAATTGGTCCGAAAATGGCGAGCAGAGTATGGTAACCTCATTGAACAAGTGGACAAGGGAAATGCTAAAAAGCGCAAGTGTGGATCAGGTCGGCAACCATTATTTTCTGAGCTGGAAGACCTGATCTGTGAATGGGTTGTTGACAGGAGAGCAAAAGCATTGGTTGTGAATAGGGCTCAGATTCAAGAATTTGCCCTTGCAATGGCACCACAGTTTGACATAGCCCCCGAAGACTTCAAAGCATCACAACACTGGCTGGATAATTTCCTTCAGCGAAGTGAACTGTCTTTAAGAAGATCTACAACATTGTTTAGGTTGGAAGATACTCAAGTTATTAAGTGAGCACTTGCATTCAAGTCCTTTATTGATGATGCTGACTTCTCTAAATACAATCTTTCCAACATGATTGCTATGGATGAAACTGCAGTGTTTATGGGCCAATCATCTCAAACTGAACAGCAGGGTGCCTCCTTAGTGTACATTCTCTCCACTGCTTACGAAAGTGCATGTGTTTCTTGTATTTTGGCAATTCTGTCTGGATGGCACTAAAATCCCACCTTTAATCATTTCTAAGGGCAAGAAGGAAAAGATTGAACGTGTTTTGGGCATTTTTATTCTTAAAACTGAAAAAGCCTGGGCCACACAAGAGTTATAAGGAAGTGGGTCAATTTAATGCTGCCGCTTGTTATGCGAGGGAGCCAAAGAGGTCTGCTAGTCTGGGATACATCCAGCACTCACTGCGCTAAAGACATGAAGACATTTTTTCATGAAAGAAAAATAGATCAGATAATGATTCCCGTAGGAATCACCAAACTCTTGATATTGCAATAAACAAGTCATTCAAAGACAATTTGCACATGAAAATTAATGACTACATTGAAAATAGAATGGAGAGAAATCAGCGTGGAAACTTTGTGAAACCTAAACTGCAAGAAGCTGTGACTTGGGTGAAGAATTCATGGGAGAAAATCACTGACAGTTGCATTGCAAATGCACTACGAGCAGGCTATCTTGACAAGAAGTACTCATTTAAAGACAGTGATATTGCTAAACATGAGAGATTTGGTCCACTGATTCTGAAAGAAATGGAGTCACAAGAAATTCACCAGGGAATTCAGGAATTGGATTGTTATGATGATGTTCCAGAAGATGACATGATTGTCATTGAATAAATGAGTAAATTCTTGATACTGTAGGATTCACAGTTTGTCTGGTTTGTGTTGACAACTACTGTACTACCGTACCGTATACAGGTAATAAATTTCCTTTATTTTCATTTAACAGTAAATGTGTACCGTATTCTTCTTCATGGAAAAATAAGACATCCCCTGAAAATAAGACCTAGCGCATCTTTGGGAACAAAAATTAATATAAGACACTGTCTTATTTTTGGGGAAACAGGGTAGGAGTGGGATCACTGGGTCAAATGGGAGTTCCAGTTTTAATTTTTTGAGGAAACTCCACTGTTCTCCACAGTGGCTACACCAGTCTGCATTCCAGTGCAAGAGGGTTCCTTTTTCTCTACATCCCCACCAGCACTTGTCATTTGTTGATAGCCATTCTGACAAGTGTGAGATGGTACCTCATTGTCATTTTGATTTGCAGCTCTCGAATGATTGACTTTGAGCATGATTTCATGTCTCTTGGTCTTCTGTTTTCTTTCAAAAGTTACCTATTTAGGTTCTTTGCCCATTTTTTGAATGGGTTATCTTCCTTTTGTTAAGTTGTCTGATTTCCATATAAATATTGGAGATTAAACCCTTATTGGTGAAAACATTGGCAGATATGTTCTCCAGTACAGTGGGTTCTTGTTGTTTTGTTGATGGTTTCTTTTGCTGTACAGGAGTTTTTTATTTTGATGTAGTCCCATTTATTTTCTCATTAGTTTCCATTGCCCTAGGAGCTGAATAAGTAAAGATATTGCTATGAAAATTTGTATGCTATTTTACTGCCTATGGCTTCTGGGATTTTTATGGTTTCCCATCTTACATTTAAGTCGTTTATCTATTTTGAGTTCATTTTTGTGTATAGTATAAGTTGGTAGTCTATTTTCATTTTTTTGCATGTATCTGTCCAATTTTCCCAACACCATTTATTGAAGAGATTGTCTTGCCTCCATTGTATGCTCTTGCCTCCTTTGTCAAATATTAATTGAGCATAATGCCTTGGGTCGACTTCTGGGTTCTCTAATTCTATTCATGGGCTTGGGCTCCTCCCCAGCCGCCTGCCGCTTCAGGAATCAGCCAAAACCAGCAGTCCGATATCCCCCAAAGGGTCCCAGATTGTAAGAGGGTGCAGGCCAGGTTGAAGGGCCCACTGGTGCAGAGATCCATGCACTGGGCCTCTAGTAAATAAAATCCGAAGTCTGTTAAATTGAGTTTCATAAAATTGAGGGCTTACTGTATTTTCAAATCTAAACATTTAAATTCTAAAGAATGGTGCTCAATTTCCTAATTTTTTGATATCTATAAAGATTAAAAATGGGGAGGGAAGAAAAAGAGAGACTATCATTAAGAACAAAGTTTTGCGTAAACTGTATTGGTTTATTTACAACTGTAATTTATAAACATTAACACAAACACCTTTACATTAATATTATGTAAAAAGTCCCATATCTGAAATGGGAGGTGGAGGGATGAGACTTCAGGACAAAGGGGGTGCCAAGAAAAGAAAAAAACAATATAACAGTTGTGGAGAGAGTTATAAATATCAATTATTGCACCAGGAGCAATTTCATGCAAATGTCTTCAACCACTCAAGTAAACTTTTTATTTAATTAGAATAAAATATCAAAATACCATGACATATGCTGCCTTTTATTCACTTGATTTCCATGAAGTAAATTAAAATTACTATCTGAAAACAGGATATGTCTAAATATTTCTCCTATCAACCTCTTTGAGATAATCCATTACACTTTAAAACATGGAAGATTGTTAGGATTTGCTATTTCCCAGATTTTACAAGAAGTTATTCCACGTCCTCAAATGTGTTCTTGGATTTCTCTCACCTAACATGTCTAATATGAATCTCTCAATAAGTTAAGTTGAGGAAGCTTTGAAATAAAGCAGATCTCTTTACAGTTTTGTCATATTAAGAGAATAAAAATAGTTTCAAACCACTGGAATTTTTGTAAGACAAAACAAAAACCAAAGAAGAGAAATTTCAGAAAGTAATGAGAAAAACAACTATAATTTATACAGCTGATTATTTGGCTTTTATTTAAGTGGATATTTGTGGTCATAGACCATAATCTCACTGAGGAAAAATCAGTGTGTGCTCAACACCTGTCTTAAATACCCTAAATCAAGTATTGCATTTGTAATAAAGACCAATGACATTTGTACAGATATAATTCTGTCCTCAAAATGTTAATTGTAATCTTAACATGCCTGCCTACTTATATATATTGCTTTTAACTGCTCCATTGAAACTATTAGGATGAAGTTTAGTATCTGAAGCACTCATGTTCAAATTATTAGCCAATGATGCAAAGATGTTTGGAAACTGATGTTTCAACATTTCATTACCGGACTGACTTTCTGAGTTGGCTGGAATCTTTATCCATTTCATTGAAAAGATAACACTCTTTTTAAGAACAGAAACGGCAAACTAGTTATTAAGCTATGTAATATTTTTTAGTTACTGATGTTGCTCAGTGGGTAAAACCAAATTAGCAACCAAATTAGCTCTCTTCAACTAATTCTCTCTAGTTTTCAGTGAAGACATTGCAAATATATATATATATATATGTGTGTATGGTTGTTTTTAAATCTGAAAGTGATGCATGTTCTCTTAAAACAGCTCTTCAAAACAGAACTGCATTCTGCTCCCGTAGTTCATAAGGGCACAAGGTCAGTTACTTCAAAGTCACTTAAAAAGTGACTTTTGTAAGTAATCATTTTACAAAGCCAAAAATGCAAAAGGAAAAATTTTTTAAATTAACTGTCCAGAGATTATAATAATTTAAGTTTTTCAAATATCCCCATGAGCAAATGAAAAGTCTCCAGTTAGTATTCAGTCAAGAAAATGTCCATATTTCTCTTGGTTGCCTTAATTTCTTTTTAATTCTCTTTTATATTAACTTTCCAAAGCATCCAACACTTTCATGATCTGTTGTTTTATGGCTTTGGTAGCATCTCCTGCATTTGGAATCAAATACCTGTAGAGGGAAATATGTAAATATTAATACAGCGCTTTGTCTTCAGAACTCTGCTTTGATGTCACCTCCAATAGGAAGCTTTCCCTGACTTACAAAGCCAGCAGAAATGTCCTTCTATGTACTCCCCGGAACTTATATTAACATATACTCAAGCCCTAACCAGTTTGGCTATGTGGATAGAGCGTTGGCCTGTGGACTGAAAGGTCCTGGGTTTGATTCCAGTCAAAGGCATGTACCTTGGTTGCGGGCACATACCCAGTAAGGGGTGTGCAGGAAGCAGCTGATCAATGTTTTTCTCTCTCATCGATGTTTCTAGCTCTCTATCCCTCTCTTTTTCTCTCTGTAAAAAAATAAAAATTAAAAAAAATCAATAAAAATGTTTTAAAAAAATTATAAAATGGCTGAAATTAAAACAGTATCATAGTGGCAAAAAAATAAAACAAATGGATAAAAAAACAAACTCAAAAGCATATTTGAAACAAAATCTAAATGCAAAAGCAAGGTGATTTTTCATAGTGTATAGCAAGGTGGAATGAACTGCAGATCAGAGTTAAAAGGTAGGTGTGAAGATGGGAAAGTCATTTAATTCCTCTTGGCTTCACATTCTAATTTATAAGATTAAACTAGTGGCCCGTTACAGGAAGATTCCTGCAATAGGGCTTCCTGCTGCGGTCGCTGCCCCACCTGTTTTCCTCCCTTCTCTGTCATCCCGCTTGTTTCTCCGCAGCTTTGCTCCCTTTTGCAGGCTTGGTTTCTTTCTACACTGTCTTGATATGCAAATTAACCGCCATCTTGGTTGGGTTAATTTGCGTGTCCACCCTGATTGGCTGGTGGGTATGTCTTGTGTAGCGGCGTGATGGTTAATTTGCATATTGCTATATTATTAGGTTAGATATGGTTTAGCTTCAAGATCAATGTGGTATATGGCCCTGTGCCAGTCCAAGAACTGTTTGTCACTGCTTCATAATGAGACAAGGAGGAGCTTATACCAGATTGCAAATTAACTACACCATTCAGTACACTGCTTAGGTCACTGACATTTTAAAAAAGTAAGAATTTGATGAAAGAAAATAAAAATTGACTTATATTCTGAAAAAACTTATTTGATTACAAACCGGCATTTAGTGCAACTCTGGCACAGGTTTTCTTGAAGACCCTTCTGTCAAAAAGTTTAATTAGTTATGGTACTTACTAAAACCATGGGCTGATGGCTAAAACACAGATAAGTAAGAAAAAGACAGCAAAGAATATTAATGAAAGTGATTCATGTATCCTATTCCACCACCTCTTTCCCTAAACAGAGAAACAAAGCATGTTTAATAATGAACTAATTCAATAATTTAGACAATATCATCCTAAGAAAATCTTACCTTTCAATTGCCAAGATTTCTATTCCTGAAGCACTGCTGTTTCCATACTTGAAGGTAATTAGGTCAGGATGTTTCTTTTTGGATGTAATTTTAACCACAGCATTTAGTGCTTGGCGAGACTGTATATAAGCCAATCCTTTCCGTGAAAGAATCTCCCTTAGACAGTACATATGTGTTGCAGTAACCAACAGATGACTTGAGAGAAAAAGCATTAAAAAACAAAAAGAATGTTTTTAAAATGTTGTTTAAAATAGCTATTACCTTCAATAGCCCCAATTATAAAAAATGTTCAACTCCAGATGAAATTACTTTTGAGTTAAAAATACAAAGGCTCATTATAAACAAACTAGATGCCCAGTGCATGAATTTGTGCACCTGTGGGGTTCCTTGGCCTGGCCTGTGGGATCAGGCCAATATGGGCTCTCCAATATCCCCCAAGGGTTCCAGATTGTGAGAGGGTGCAAGCCAGGCCAAGGGACCCCACCAGTGAATGATCAGGGACAGGGAGAGATGTGGGAAGTTGGTCAGCTGGGGAGGGACCAGAGAAGGGCTCCAGGGCTTGTCAGCCTATCTCGCTCAGTCCCAATCGGCCAGACCCCAGGAGCAAGCCAACCTACGAGTTGGAGCATCTGCCCCCTAGTGGTCAGTGCACATCATATCAAGTGGTTGAGCAGCCTTAGCATACCATTAGCATATTACACTTTGGTTGAATGGATGACCAGACACTTAGCATATTAAGTTTCTATTATTTATGGCTAGCGGCCCAATACATAGAATTTGTGCAAGGGGCCTGGTCCTCACAGCCCTGACTACCTTGGTCCTCATAGCCCTGTCTTCGTCCAGACAGTTGTCCAGAAGGTTGCCTGGATGGCTGTTCCTATTTGGTCTAATTAGCATATTAGCACTTTATTATATAGGACTAGAGGCCCAATGCACAAAATTGGTGCAAGGGGCTTGGCCCTTGCCACTGCAGTGGCTTCCCTCAGCCCTCGCAGCCTCGGCTTCATCTGGAAGGTTGTTCGGTTGTCTGGTCTAATTAGCATATTATGCTTTTATTATTACTGATAAGCTATATAATAAAAGCTTTACATTTTCCCTTAAGTCTTATTAACAAACTATGTCTAAAAACAAAGGTATAATCTATATATATAAAAGTCTAAGCGACTAAATGACCTAATGACCGGTTGCTTTGACATTCACTGATCACAGGGGGCAGCACTCAATGCAGAAGCTGCCCCCTGGTGGTCAGTGAGATCCCACAGCCAACCTCCTGTAGTAGTCCCTCTCCTGGCCAGCCGGCCCTGATCTCCCCAATCAGGACTGGGCAAAACAGTCCTGATTGCTGGCCAGGCCAAGGGACCCCACCCGTGCATGAATTTGTGCACTGGGCCTCTAGTATTTTATAAAAAGTATGATACAAGTAAAATAATAGATTTAAAACAACAGATTTTTAGAATTTATTCTATATAGTATATAAAATATACTACCTTCCATACTAATAGTATTGTCTATATTCATGAAGTATTCTCATTCAGTATACCATAGCATATGCCCAATATTAGACACAACTACGCAATAGTTGGGCTGCCTTACATATTTTATAATATTCTGAAATTGTATCCTCAAGACAAAATGTGCTCAGAATTAACATCCCTCACCTTGTGTCTCACCCCTAACCTTGTGTCTCAGCTTTAATATAGTGATAATACTCATACAATAAGAAAAATACCAGAAATATCTAAAATGTGGTACATTCAGCCTACAGTCACAGGATTAATTAATAGTGAAGAAATGGGTGTGGAGTATAGTACTTTGGGTGAGACTAAATAGATAACACAGATACAGTGTTGAACCCTGACTGGATCCTAGATCAGGAAGTAAAAACAAAGACTATAAAATATACTTTGGGGGCACTCTGAAAAATTTAAGTATATGGTCTAAATGTTGAATCATGCTAATTTTTACGATTTTTAAAGTTGAAAACACTATTTGAGTTATGAGATTTTCTTGGGAGATTTATGTTGAAGTGTTTAGGGTTAAGTGTTATATGTAAGCTTCTGAATGGCTTGATAAAAGGGAAATTCATATGCACATATGTAGTATACGTGTATGTATATACACAAGTAAGAGATGGGATAGTGTGAAAAGAAGTTAAAAGCTGGTGAATCTAAGAGAGGTTTATAAAGGTGTTCAATGTGCTGTTTCTTCAACATTTCTTGTTTAAAATTTTCAAAATAAAAAATTACATTAAAAATCATTTCTAAAAAATCAATTCATATATTATTACAGGGAAATTATATCTTACTGTATTTGGATAAATAAACTTTCTTTTGTAGTTTGGTTTTATATTAACTTCCCTAAATTCAATTATACTTCTGAAGAAGACATTTTTACAAGTACCTAGGAAACATGTGTCCATTTTCTTTCACTTCTTTACAAGGAAAATGATGCTTGATGTCTGGCTTGTTTATCCAAGTTTGAATATTTACCACCTCTTTTCTATCATCATCTGACATGGAAGAACTGTCAATTTCATCTATAAAGAATTTAAAGTGTTAAAAGTGGGCATTACCAATTTCAAAAATGATACATTTCTTAACAGCTTGAAAAACAATTTCAGTAGTACTTTGAAAACACACACCAATCAATTCTTTTCTTTACATCAGAGAGAAAGAGAGAGGAAGAGAATGATAGAAACATCAATGATGAGAGAGGATCATTGATCGGCTGCCTCCTGCATGCCTCTTACTGGGGATTGAGTCCAAATCTGGGCATGTGCCCTTGGCTGTAATTGAACTCGGGACCCTTAATATGCAGGCCAATACTTTATCCACTGAGCCAAACCAGCTAGGACTTAATGCTAATGCTGCTACTACTAATATTTCCTTATGCCACAAAAACTAATACAAAAATAATGTTATGAAAAATTGCTCTACATCAGTGGTTCTCAACCTTTCTAATGCTAATTTTTGCCAGTTATGAAGCATAATGTAAATGTCTGTGTTTACAATTTATTAACAACAAAATTAGAGTTACGAAGTAGCAACGAAAATAATTTTATGGTTGGGGGTCACCACAACATGAGGAACTGTATTAAAGGGCCGCGGCATTAGAAAGATTGAGAACCAATACTCTATATGGTAAGAAAAAGTCAGGTAAAAACACTGAGATGCATGTTTAAACATTAAACTAAGAAATTTAAACACTTTTAAAAAACCCAAGGAAATTTAAAAAACCTGATGAACAATATTAACTGTTGATTATAATAGAATCAGAGATACGGGAGGGGAGTGGACTGACAATTCTCGGGGAAAAGGGGAGTGGTGGATGTGGGAAGAGACTGAACATAAACTGTGTATCTATGGATGAGGACAATGGGGGGGGGGGGAAAGGGCAGAGGGTGTGGTGGGAACCTGGTGGAGGGGGGCAAAAATGACTAACTTTTGTAATAATATGAACAATAAAGATTGATTTAATAAAGAAATTTAAACACTGTAATTTAGATAGCATAACTATAAAATCTGACTAGTCTGTAGAGAGATGGCTGAATTTTCCAACAATGAATACCTATTTTTGAGGGCAAATACAGCAGAGTTCTTTTTCTCTTGCTGGTTCCAGATTTTATTTTATTTTTTAAAATATATTTTATTGATTTTTTACAGGGAGGAAGGGAGAGAGATAAAGAGTTAGAAACATCGATGAGAGAGAGTCATCGATCAGCTGCCTCCTACACACCTCCTACTGAGGATGTGCCTGCAACCAGTGTACATGCCCTTGACTGGAATCGAACCAGGGACCCTTCAGTCCGCAGGCTGACGCTCTATCCACTGAGCCAAACCAGTTTCAGCTGGTTCCAGATTTTAAACAACAACAAATCCATCATTGGATAGATAAGTAAAAATCTACATTTTTTCATGAGAAAAATAAAAAACATTTAATTATTTTGTTCTTATTTAAGAGAAATTACAATCCCTGGGATTAATAATTATAAATGTTCTTCCCTTTGCTTTTAAAGGAATATTTCAAAATATATCTATAAAAGCCTAAGTGAGTGTTCTACTGGCAGCTATGACCCATACTGACCAACGGGGCAGATGCTCAATGCACAGGCATGGAAACATGAAACAGACTGATGAATCTCAGAAGGGAAAAAGAGGAAAGAAGTGGAAATGGAGAGATTAACCAAAGATCTTATATACATACTAGAGGCCCGGTGCACAAAATTCATGCACAGAGGGGGAGAAGGTGTCCCTCAGCCCAGCCTGCACCCTCTTCAATCTGGGACCCCCTCGGTGGATTTTTAAATGGGCAATCAAACATCCCTCTCACAATCCAGGACTGTTGGCTCCCAAATGCCCATCAGCCAATCAAAGCAAGAATGCAAATTAACTCCATTAAGATGGCTACTACCACAGAGCGAACAGGCGAAAGGTTTGGGTTTTCCTGGCTATGGAGAAAGCTAAGCTTTCCATACACCTTGGTGGGCCCAGGCCTCCACTCAAGGGTACAAAGTTTCAATTATAGAAGGTAAATTAATTCCAACAGAAATGGCGGCAGTCATAGAGCCACAGAGAGCAGGAGGCTAGGGTTGGCTGAATTGCCCAAGGGGTCCTGGAAATGGAGGAAGCCAAGTTTCTGCAGCCCTGGCAGGTACAGGCCTCTGCTTAAGGCTACGAAGTTTCATTTATAGAAGATAAACCTCAGATACCAGGGTCTCCACTTGGGTAGTTGGGGGGCGTGGCCAGCCTGCAAACCACCACAGGCTCCTTGCCCAAGCTGCCCTATGCCCCAAGGGAACCCCCACCCTGATCTGGGATACCAGTGCAAACCAGCTGGCTCTCACCCGTGCATCTGGCCTCTATCCTAACTAATAATAAAAGAGTAATATGCAGATTGACCATCACTCCAACACACAAGATGGCTGTCCCCCTGTTGTCAAAGATCCCCATGTGGACACAAGATGGCCACCACAGTTGAGAGGGACCAGGCCTGCAATGGAGGGCAGTTGGGAGGGACCAGGCCTGCAGGGGAGAGTAGTTAGGGGTGACCAGGCCTGCAAGAAAGGGCAGTTAGGGGCAAACAGGCTGGCAGGGGAGCAATTAGGCATCAATCAGGCCGGCAGGGTAGTGGTTAGGGTGTGATGAGGCTGGCAGGCAGAAGTGGGTATAGCAGAGTGATGGTTAATTTGCATATTGCTCTTTTATTAGATAGGATTAGAGGCCCCATGCACGGATTCATGCACCAGTAAGGTCTGTAGGCCTGGCCTATGGGGACTGGGACAAAACCAGCAGTCTGACATTCCCCAAGGGGTCCTGAGTTGCTAGAGTGCAGGCTATTCCAAGGGACCCCATTGGTGCACGAATTCATGCACCAGGCCTCTGGTAAAGATATAATGAAAAAAGGAAATCTCATATAGTTACATTCCTCTTCCCCAGTCACACTCCTCTTCCTTCCTAAGAAATAGTGATCGCCGAAACTGGTTTGGCTCAGTGGATAGAGCATCAGCCTGAGGACTGAAAGGTCCCAGGTTCGATTCCGGTCAAGGGCATGTACCTTGATTGCGGGCACATGCTCAGTAGGGGGTGTGCAAGAGTCAGCTGGTCAATCTTTCTCTCTCATCAATGTTTCTAACTATCTCTCTCCCTTCCACTCTGTAAAAAAATCAATAAAATATATTTTTAAAAAAAGAAAAGAAATAGTGATTATGTGAATTTAGTGTTACCAGTTCCATACTTTTACTATATTTGCATATAGTTATTCTTTAATTATATATAAATATCCCTAGATAATATATAGTATTTTGTATTTTACGTATATATAAGTAGACTATTCAATTGTAGTCTTCTGTAATGGCTACCCCACTCCCAACATTATAAAATTTATCCATGTTGATATGCATAGCTCTAGTTTTCTCATTTTCATTATTGTGCAGTTAATGTAAATATGTGTGTGATTTATGTAAACACACCATAATTTATTCATTCATTTGTTAATAGAAGGAGTTGAGATATTCAGACAAAGATACATAACAGATGATGGCAAGAAAGAGGATTGGGGGAAAAGGAGCAAAAGAAATAAATTAAAAATAGGAGGTAGAAAATTACATTTACTGCAATGCAAGTTTTCTGGAAGGTGATTTTATAATCTGAATTAATAAAAATATCAAATGTGTTTCCCTATAACCTAGCAATCTTACTGCTAAGAGTTTACCATCTGGATGTACTTGCAAAAGTTCATGTTCATATATGTATAAAAACATCTGTTTGTCATTTGAAACAGAAATAAAAGTTAAAATATCAATGGGGAGAGAAACCAAGATGGCGGCATAGGTAACCGCCTAACTGCAGCCTCACACAACAATTTCAAAAAATACAACTAAAATATAAAATGGACATTATCCAGAACTACAGGAAAGTTGACTGACTGGAAATTCTACGAGAAGGAAAGAGAAAACCAGAAGAGGAGCTGTAAAAGCCTAAGGTATGGAGGCACATTGCACGCTCAGAGAGGATGGAGCCAGAGAGGAGGGGCAGCTGAGTGCCTGGCTGGCGTTCCCTAGCAGGAAGGAGATAAAAGATCCGGACTGTGCTGAACCCTAGTTCCGACAGCACTGAACCCCAGTTCTGAGCAAGACCCTGGGGACCCAGACACTTATAGAGGGAATCTGGGCTGTAAGGCGGAAGCTCAGGGGAGCGGCAAAAGGCAGAGCCCCGGAGGCGCGCACATTGCGCGCAGAGGACTGACTGTTGACTGTGCTGCTAAATTGCCCTAGCGGGAAGGAGACAAAAGCTCCGGACTGTGCTGAGCCCCAGTTCCAACTGCACTGAACCCCGTTCTGGGTGAGACCCTCGGGCCCAGGCTCATACAGAGGGAATCTGGGCTGTAAAGCAGAAGCTCAGGGGAGCGGTTAAAGGCAAAGCCCCTGAGTCATGCACATTTTGTGCAGAGGACAGACTTGATTGAGCCGCTGGACTGCCCTAGCGGGAAGGAGACATAAGCTCCAGACTGCACTGAACCCTGCTTCCAACTGCACTGAACCCCAGTTGCGGGCTCATTGGGGGAGAGACTAGACTGTCTGTTAGCAGGCGAAATTCTAGGGCACCTTTCTCTCAGAGATGCTTGCAGTGAGTACCAAAGACACTGAGGAACACTGAGATTCAGGAACCTCATAGGGTGGGGCTAACAGGAAGCCAAGGCTGTAGGGTCCACCCTGAAACTCCGCCTCATCCAAGCTAAGCACAGAGTCTCTTGCAGTTTTCCAAGTCTAGTCGAATAAGGCTGTCTCCTGGCATAGATACAGCTGATCCTCCAAACCTTCCAACTCAGGGAAGCAGCAAAAATGCCGAGACAAGGAAACAGATCACAAACGACAGAAATGGAGGACAAAAAACGACTGGATATAGAGTTCAAAACCATGCTTATAAGGTTTTTCAAGAATCTCCAAGAAAAGGCCAATAAAATAAACGAGACCTATGAGGATATAAAAATGGATCAACTAGAAACAATAAAGGATCAACTAGAAATAAAGAATACATTCTCTGAACTAAAAAATATTATACAGCCGGGACCGGTTTAGCTCAATGGATAGAGCGTCGGTTTAGGGACTGAAGGGTCCCGGGTTAGATTCCGGTCAAGGGCATGTACCTTGGTTGCAGGCATAAACCCAGTAGGGGGTGTGCAAGAGGCAGCTGATTGATGACTCTCTCTCATTGAGGTTTCTAACTCTGTATCTCTCTCCCTTCCTCTCTGTACAAAATCAATAAAATATATATAAAAAAAAATTATACAGAGTCCTAAAAACAGAATGGAAGATTGCAAGAATCAAGTCAAAGATTTGGAACACAAAGAGCCAGAGGACACTCCTTCACAGAAGCAAGAAGACAGGAGAATCCAGAAAGTTGAAGATAGTGTAAGAAACCTCTAGGACAACTTCAAGCAAACCAACATCAGAATTATAGGCGTCCCAGAAGATGACAGAGCAAGATACCGAAAACATATTGAAAGAAATAGTGACAGAAAACTTCCCCCACCTGGTGAAAGAAATAAGACTTACAAATCCAGGAAGCACATAGAAGCCCAAACAAAAGGAATCCAAAGAGGACCACACCAAGACACATCATAATTAAAATTCCAAGAGCAAAAGACAAAGAGAGAATATTAAAAGCAGTAAGAGCAAAGAAGGTAGTTACCTATAAAGGAGCACCCATACGACTGTCAGCTGATTTCTCAACAGAAACCATGCAGGCCAGACGGGAATGGCAAGAAATATTCAAGGTGATGAATAACAAGAATCTACAGCCAAAAATATTCTAGCCAGCAAAGCTATCACTCAGAATCCAAGGACAGATAAAGAGCTTCACAAATAAAAAAAAGGTAAAGGAGTTCATCACCGCCAAACCAGAATTATATGAATTGCTGAAGGGGGTTATTTAGGAAGAGGAAGAAAATACAGATAAAAATTAGGAACAACAAATATGTAACTATCAACAAGTGAATCTAAAAACCAAGATAATTAAAAAACCTGATGAACAATATTAACTGTTGAATATAATAGAATCAGAGGTATGGAAGGGGAGTGGACTGACAATTCTTGGAGAAAAGAGTAGTGGGAGGTGCAGGAAGAGACTGAACATAAACTGTGCACCTATGGATGAGGATAGTAGGGAGTGGGGAAAGGGCAGAGGGTGGGGTGGGAACCTGGTGGAGGGGAAAAAATGAAGAACTTTTGTAATAATATGAACAATAAAAATTTATTTTAAAAAAAGTCAATGGAAGAATATTGAATAAATAAATTATGGTATGTTCACATGATAGAAAAATAATTGAGAAGGTATACGGCCTGAGATAGAAAATATGCAATATGTATTACTAAGTGGAAAAGGCAAGATGAAATATAGAAGTTTTTTTTTCATATTTTGTACATTTATGTACTGTTTTATTTTTTCTAACTTAATTCACATATTACTATTAATTATGATTACTTAACCAGGATAATCTGGCAGTGGCATTATGAACCAAAGTAGTAAATTCTTTTTAAAAATATAAAGACAACCAACCACACGGAGGATGACAAATTTCCCTTATACAATATCCCCATCTTGTGGCCCTTTAAAATATTGCCTCTAGTTTCAAAAGGTTCTTCAGATGTCTATTTTGAAATTCCCTGAACTTTGGTCCCATAACTCTCAATCTCCTAAGTGGGTGTATCAGGGGTTTTAAATTCAATCCCAGGGATTTAGATACTATTTGTACCCTGATGATTCTGAAATTATCACCAACTTAGACTTGTCTCCTAGATTAAAGGTTCCTATGTCAACCGGCTATGCAACATTTCACCTTGAATTTCTAATAGGCAGAACTTTAGATGTTTTAGACCAACTATTAATAGAAAAAAAGTCTTTAATCTCCTTTACAGAATCTCACTGTCTTTTTTCTTTTTTAATATATTGTTATTGATTTTAGAGTGGGAAGTGATAGCTTTGCTGGCTAGAGTATTTTTGTCTGTAGATTCTTGTTATTCATTGATCGGCTGCCTTTTCCACACCCCATACAGGGGATGGAGCCCCCAACCTGGACATGGGCCCTGACCAGGAACTGAACCACTGAACCTGCTGGCTGGGTACTTTTTTTTGTTTGTTTGTTTGTTTTGTTGTTAAGCAGTTGTCTGCTACTCCCAAAATAATCTTTATAATCACTCCTGGTGGCTGAGGAAAGAAGTGTATAAGTAAGTGTGGTACTACACCTGTGTCGTACTCTTCTTCATCCCCAATGCTGAACACAGGTTTCACACCACGGTATGGCTTGCCCACTCTGTCACTGCTGCTCACATGCCTATATTCAAAAAAGTTTAGGGGAAAGGGGGAGAAATCACATAAGAAGTTATTAAAGATTTTAACCAAGTATCATTTGACTATTCAAACCAATGTAAATGTTCTTTGCCCACATACAAACCAGTTTTAGGATAGTTATGTTAAGGAAATTGAAACAAGATAAGGAAATATGTTAGCAAAAGTGGCAAAAGGACTTGGTGGCTGAAGGTTTTCAAATCTGTAAATATTATATCTGAAGCAATTTTAATTTTCATATTAAACCAAGGCTTAGCCCAGCCAGAGTGGCTCAGTTGGCTGAGCATTGTCCTATGCTCCGAAAGGTTGCTGGCTCAATTCCCAGTCAAGACTCATACCTGGGTTATGGCACTTACATAAGGCAACTAATTAATGTTCTCTCTCACATTGATATTTCTTTCTCCCCGCCCCCCACCATCTCTCTAAGTATGTCCTCAGGTAAAGATAAAAAAACAACAACAATTCTTAGATCTGTGTGGCCTTAGAGAAGTTACTAAACCTCTCTGTGATTCTGTTTCCTCATCTGTAAAATGATAACACCTACCCTACCTGGTTATAAGAATTAAACCACTTAATATCATATATATTGATTTCAGAGAGGAAGAAAGAAAAAGATAGAAACATCAATGATGAGAATCACTGATCAGCTGCCTTCTGTATACCCACACTGGGGATCGAGCCCGCAACCCAGAATGTGTCCTGACCAGGAATCGAACTGTGTCTTCCTGGTTCATAGGCTGACACTCAACCACTGGAGCCACGCTTTACATATTTTGTAAAGCTCTCAGAACAATGTCTAGCATATAGCAAGTTCAACATACATGTTTATTAGACAATATAGACTATGGAACCAAACATTCAAATTCTAGGGGTGCTTAAAGTTCTCATAGGAGTGTGCAAGTGTCTTAAGGATTTTCCTCCCATTTTTTATTATTGTTACATTAATTTTATAGAAACTAAGATTCTACTTCTTATACATAAATGTTAGTAAGCCATGAAAATGAATCTGTCTCTCTTCTTTAAGTGAAAGAAGGCTAAACAACATGTAAACTCAAAATTGGTTAGTTCTGCCAGAAGTATGACCTTTTTTTTAATATAAAAATTTAACCTCATTCCTTTGCAGGTAATCTCAAATGAACCAAGAAGTAAAATGAAAGTGTTTCAACAAAATACTATATGTTTCTGGGGAATTAGCATTTTATTATTTGTAGGATAAAGTATAAAGAGAGTCCAAAGTGGGGAAAAAATCAAGTTACAATCTCTTTACTTAGCCTTAGAATTCATTTTTTTCCACAAGATGGATATCAAACCTATATTTTAAATACTTTTCTAATACATTTCATCAATAAAAATCTTATCACAACCTAATTTTGTTGAAGGACTTAAATCTTTACTTCTTTAAAACAACATTCTTCAACAGAAAATCAATCTGAGTTGAATGTATAACCAGATATTCTTTGGGAATTATAAGTTAGGTTAACCACTACATAGCTTACACTTGATTACATTAAAATCATAAAATAATTTTGAATTTATGTTAAAATAAATCTAATGTAAAATTATCCTGAAAATTACCAAACTATTCTCATTAGATTAAAATTAAAAAACCTATGAAACTCAGATTCAACTTTCCTAAAAAAGGCAAAGACAAAGATAATACAGTTTTACCTAAGAATACTTTAGTGCCAGCCTATCTAATAAAAGCCCAGAGATCAAACAGTGGAATGACCAGAATGACTGGTCGACACTAAGGCACTAAGACGCACACTGACCACCAGGGGGCAGACGCTCAACGCAGGAGGTGCCCCCTGATTGTCAGTGCACTCCCACAGTGGGAGCACTGCTCAGCTGGCTGCTCTTGCAGTGGGAGCACCCACTTAGAGGGCAGGTCCACAGCCCCTTGGCTAAGCAGTGCTCCCACAGTGGGCCAATCCCTGCAGGCCACGTCCCCCACCAGTGCACAAATCCCATGCACCGGGCCTTTAGTTTTGATTGTAAAATTATATGAGATTTAAATTATTGCTTCTCTCCTGATATTAAAACATAATTAAACCACCTGCTACAACACAGAAAGTAATAACGGTAACTTTTATAGTGATTACTTGAATCAGAAACCAAGTATCAGAAGAGACAAATAGGAAAAAAAATACAATGTAGTTTTTATAAGATTGCTAAAGATTACTGAGATGGTTCTTAAAAGACTCGCAAAAAATTAATGAAATTCAATGGATGGACTTTAAAAAAAAAGTATATTTATTCTTTCTTAGAGAAAATAATAACAGAAACATCTACAAAGTAGTTTGTCAAGGTTTTTACTTAGTTCGCTGAGCTCAGAAAGAGCTAAAATTTCATTCCAACATTTCACTAAATTTTCCTTTAAAATAAGTATATCTGCCTTTGGGCCAGAGAAGGTAATTAAAATTTTTTTTTTTTTAATTAAGAATCTGGGAGAAAACTCGGGAGTTAAATAAAATCAAATTAATTCAATGGTCGTATAATAAGAGAAAATAGAATGATGATTCACAAACATCATAATTTTAAGGAGGCAATTTCCTTTAAAATATATAAAATTATAATAGCAGCTCTTGTAATGGGTTCTGTATACGAACAGTCATAGCAAATAAAAACTCTTATCAATAAGTTGGGAGTAAACTACTGTTTTTAAAATGATACTTCTGGTCACTGGAAATATTGAAATGATCCGAGAAAAAGTCAAGTCCATTATTCTAAAGCTTAACTTACATTCAAAGTATGGCAATATTTTCTTTTAAAATGTTCATAGGTATTGCTAGATATGATATTCTAACTTAAATTGCAGAAAAATTCAATGAGTATAAAAACTATAAAGCCATATAAAAGTATTAAGTAAGTAAAGTTGTTTTGTTCATTCTAATTGAAGATTCTTTTAAATTTATGGGATCTAATGACAAACAGCCCATCTCAATGAGGCAGAGAAGAGATAGGTTATACATCAACATGTCCATCACAGCAACTTCTTTCAATGAAAACCAAGGACAGGACTCTAGAATTGTGGTTCTTTGGAACCAATTTATATGTTAACTCATGAAACTAAATATATACATTTTGTTAAGAAAAATCTAAAATATTATAAAACTAGAGGCCCTATGCATGAAATTCATGCAAGAGTAGGCCTTTGCGGGAGTCGTTCCAAGATGGCTGACAGGTAAACACCTAGCCGCAGCCGCACACAACAATTTCAATAAAATACAACTAAAATATAAAATGGACATTACCCAGAACTACAGGAAGATCGACTGACTGGAAATTCTACGAGAAGCAAGGAGAAAACCAGAAGAAGCGCGGAGGAGCTGTAAAAGCCTAAGGTCCGGAGACACGCAGTGCGCGTGGAGAGGACGGAGCCGGAGAGGAGGGAGGCTCAGTGTCTGGCTGGCGTTTCCAAGCGGGAAGGAGATAAAATTCCGACTGTGCTCGGCCCCAGTTCTGACTGCTCTGAACCCCAGTTCTAGGACAGACCCCGGGGACCGAGGCTCACACAGAGGGAGCTGGGCTGCGAGGCGGAACCCCAGGGAAGCGGCGAAAGGAGGTCCCGGCGGCGCGCACATTCAGCGCAGAGAAGGGACGGTTGGCTGTGCCGCGGGATTGCCCTGGCAGGAAGGAGACTGGGGCTCTGGAATGCTCTGAACGCCACCTCCAACTCCATTTCCAACTGAACTGAACCCCAATACCGGGCTCATTGGGGGAGAGCATAGACAGTTTGGCAGCAGGCAAAAATCGAGGGCGCCTTTCTCTCAGAGGCGCTTGCAACTAGTACTGAAGGACCTGCATAGGGCGGGGCTGATGGAAGCCAAAGCTGCAGGTTCCACCCTGAAACCCCACCTCATCCAAGCAGAACACAGAGACTTTTAAGGCTACCAACTCAGGAAAGCTGCGAAAATGCCGAGACGAAATAGATCACAAACGAAAGAAATGGAGGACAAAAAGCAACTGGATATAGAGTTCAAATCTACACTTATAAGGTTTTTCAAGAATTTCCTAGAAAAGATGGATAAGACCTATGAGGATATGAAAAGGGATCAACTAGAATTAATAAGGAATCAACAAAAAATGATAAGGGATCAACAAAAAATGATAAGGGATCAACAAGAAATAAAGAATACATTGACTGAAATAAAAAATATTATACAGAGTCCTAAAAACAGAATGGAAGATCACAAGAATCAAAGAGTTGGAACAAAAGTGAAAGTTGTGAAACATAAAGAGCCAGAAGACACTCCTCCACAGAAGCTAGAAGGCAAGAGAATCCAGAAAATTGAAGATAATGTAAGAAACCTCTGGGACAACTTCAAGCGAACCAACATCAGAATTATGGGGGTCCCAGAAGATGAGAGAGAGCAAGATATCGAAAACATACTGAAAGAAATAATGACAGAAAACTTCCCCCACCTGGTGAAAGAATTAGACTTACAAGTCCAGGAAGCGCACAGAACTCCAAACAAAAGGAATCAAAAGAGGACCACACCAAGACAAATCATAATTAAAGTTCCAAGAGCAAAAGACAAAGAGAGAATATTAAAAGCAGCAAGAGCTAAGCAGGTAGTTACCTATAAAGGAGCACCTATACGAATGTCAACTGATTTCTCAACAGAAACCATGCAGGCCAGAAGGGAATGGCAAGAAATATTCAAGGTGATGAATAGTAAGAACCTACAGCCAAAGATAATCTATCCAGCAAAGCTATCACTCAGAATCGAAGGTCTGATAAAGAACTTCACTAATAAAAAAAAGGCTAAAGGAGTTCATCAACACCAAACCAGAATTATATGAATTGCTGAAGGGGGTTCTTTCAGAAGAGAAAGTAAATAAAGATAAAAATTATGAACAACAAATACGTAACTATCAACAAGTGAATCTAAAAACCAAGGAAATTAAAAAAGAAAATCTGATGAACAATATTAACTGTTGAATATAAATAGAATCAGAGGTATGGAAGGGGAGTGAACTGACGATTCTTGGGGAAAATGGGAGAGGGGGATGTGGGAAGAGAACATAAACTGTGCGCCTATGGATGAGGACAATGGGGAGTGGGGAAAGGGCAGAGGGTGGGGTGGGAACCTGGTGGAGGAGAGCAATGGTGGGCGGGGGAGGAGGGGGGGGAAGAAGGAACATTTGTAATAATATGAACAATAAAAATTTATTAAAGGAAGAGTAGGCCTTTGCAACCCAGCTTCATATGGAAGGTTGTCCAGACGGTCGTTTCACAGTTCAGTTGATTTCCATATTACGATTTATTATTACAGAAGACAAAATGAACATGAATTATCCAAAATTTTGAACCATGAATTGTGCTTTTTTCCCCAGGTACTATAATTTTCTCTATTGTTAGGGCAGGACACAGAAGTAAATAATCTTCAAAGCTAAATACCCTGTCAACTTTGAAACTACTTATTTTCTTTGTTTCACCTTCCTCTGCCTCAGAATAAAAGCTGCAGGTTTATGAAGTTCTTGGATTCAAATGTACTTGATTTTCATCTGATGAATGGGAGATAAAAGGAAGCATGCAAGAAAAAAAAACTTTAATGATCAAAGCAAAAACCAAAAAGATATTAGCATCACATGTACTCCTAAAAGCAGAATGAGAAAAGTTTAGCATTTGAAACAGCTAAATGAAATTTTAGCCAAGACAGCATGAGGCTTATAGACAGCATGAAGCATGCTAGAGGAAAGGATGCCCAACAAAGCTGCTCTACTCATTGGCTTACCGCTCTGTACATGTTCTGTCTGGCCAAGGAAGATTGAAAGACATTCTACAGCAAATTGAGGCAGAGGACAGAACAAAATGATTATAAAAGCACAACAGTTTTAAAACAAAAATATAGCACAATCAGTTTTTCTAACCCAAAGTGTACATTATAAAGAGTTTCAATCATCCAAAGTACAAAGAAAAAAATTTAAAAGCCTGTCTCAAGTGACTCCTTAACAAAGTCTTTTCATTTAAAGTTATCACTAGTTCATTTTAAAATAAAATTAATGAATTTTAAAATAAAAATATTTAATGTTCAGGCTATAAAATGTAGCAATAGTAGTACTATAATTCAAAATGCACTAATTAAAAGTAAAAATGTTAAAGGCCTTTGAGAGCAGACATATAATTTAATGAGTAAAAAAATATTTTGTGGTAAAACACTTTACATTATTTATCAGTTGACCATTTTAGACTAGATACAATTTTTTGAATTAGTGAAAACAACCTATTTTCTTCTTTACTATTTACTGAATGGGAAAAAAATGTATTTTTGTATATATGTACTATACTTAAAAAAGTGACAAATAGTAAATTCCTGACATTCAGTTCTTAAAGCCAAATATTTCAACTTTCCTAGGATACAACAAATAAAACATGAGTAAAATTAAATACTATAACACACTACCAAGATCAAGCTTGCTTAGAAACAAATTCTGCACTGAATTATTAGGTTAGCTTTGAACTCTAGGAATAAGAAAGATCGATGTGTGGACAAAAATATGTATATTGTGATTCACAATTCCAGTAAGAATGTAACAGATAAACTTGCTTATTATTTGTTGGCTATGTCCTTCATTTGTAAGTCATGATAAGCTAACAGTCTCTTATATTCTATGAACAAAATTCTACGAAGATCTGAACTACTGAACTTCAGAAAATTTATTTCTGCTTTATTTAGCATGATATATTTTCTAGGTTTTACATTCTGAAAGCAGAGGAAGAGGTTCCTGCAGAGATTACTGCATTTGGTAGTTGATTCTCATACATTTGCCATGTGGGAAGCAGATACCATATGAAGTGTAAAACATAAAATGGCATTGAATATATTTTTAATAAATGGCACGAAGGAGCAGAATCATTACTTGCACCTTATTCTGAGAGGGGGGAAAAAAGCAATCTGTAGACAAATTTTACAGCAATAAAGAACATCTTATAATTGTAATGAAAACTGAAACCATATATTATACTTAAAAAATGTACTTTATATTTTTCTAGAACACATTCAAGTCAACTAATATTTACTGTAAGATATTTTTCTTTAGTTTTAATTACTCATCATAAACTCATACTATAGAAACAACTCACCGATCCACAGGAGCTGATGTATTTTCAATAAAACTGATAACTTTTTCCCTGACATTAACGGATTTTGTCTTCAAAGCAATAGTCATTTTATTTACTAGTGATTTCATTCCTCTATCATTTAAGCCATTAGAAGATTCACCCTGAAAAAAATAAAATTACTAAAGAACTTCTCTCCAAACGATTAGCAGACACACTACTGCTAAAGGTGATCTAAATGTCGTAGCAGGATGGGCCGGGTCGGGGCACGGAGAACCCACCCCTGTGCCCACCACAGCCTTGAGACCCACAGTTTCTTTCAAGGCCTCATACACTGGATCCCTAGTATTATATATAAGTTTATATATTATCCTGAATCCTTTGTTGTCATCTCAATAATCTTCAGAGCATTTTCACCCAGAATAGATTCCACCTCAAGAAGCCACTTTCTCTGCTCATCCACAGAAGCAATTCCGCGTTTATGAAATGAGACTGCAGTAATACAGTCTTCATTTTACTTCGTATTTTCTTGCTATTTGCACCACAACTTGGCTATTTGGCATAAGAATCTAGCTTTTGGCTTATTCTGGCTTTCAACATGCCTTCCTCAATAAGCTTAATCATTTCTAGCTTTTGATTTAAAGCGAGAGACCTGTGACTCTTCCTTTCACTTGGAACATTTAGAGACCACTGTAGGGTCTCAATTGGCCTAATTTCAATATTGCTGTATCAGAGAGACCAGAAAAGAGAGAGAGAGACAGACAGATGGGGAAATGACTCAATAGGTGTAACAGTCAGAACACACATTTTTTAAGTTTGCAGTCTTATATAGGCACAGTTCATGGCAGCCCAAAACAATAAACAGCATCAAAGATCACACTAATCACAGATAACCATAACAAATATAATAATGAAAAATTTTGAAACATTGTGAGAACTAACAAAATATATCAGAGATACATGAAGTGAGCAAATGCTGTTTGAAAATGCCAGTGGGTTTGTTTGATGCAAGGTGGCTACAATCTTCAATTAGAAAAATAAAGTGATAATCTGCAGAGTGCCGTTAAGTACAATAAAATGAGGGAGATGCCGATAACGAGCATATCATTTCATGGAGTTAAATTTTTAAATAACTGGTTCGTTGTAAAATTTTGCTTTTTAAAACATTTTCACTTAGGCCTCTAATTTCTCAAGAATTAGGTTAACCTGGCGTACCTAATGTAATAGGTATAGTTCTTAAATTATTTCATGGAATTGCTTCCATATACCCTAGAAGGCAAGTTGGTGATAGGTGTCAAAGTTTCAAAGTGTACCAATCCTCTTCAGAATTTATGGGAAGGAAATAATAAAAAAGTGGTCTAGGATTTAAGTACTATTTGATGGAAAATTATACAGATCGAAAAAACACATGATTTACAGCATGTTTTCAAGGGCTGTGGCTGGCTGCAGCCATGGGATTTTTAACTGCATGTGAGAGCAATGTGGAGAGAGACTGACAGCTCAGGTTAGTATAGTATTTATGCTGTCACTCACCTTTCCTATAATAAAAAAACAACAACAACAAAAACCCATGCTTAACAATAAAAGTATTTCAAAATGTTAGAAAATACTCATATATTTAGTGAAATTATGTGTATAACCTGATCATTATTTTTAAAAATATATAATTTTATTGATTTCTCACAGAGAGGAAGGGAGAGGAATAGAGAGTTAGAAACATTGATGAGAGAGAAACATCAATCAGCTGCCTCCTGTTCTACTGGGGATGTGCCTGCAACCAAGGTACACGACCTTGACCGGAATTGAACCTGGGACCCTTCAGTCCACAGGCCAATGCTCTATCTACTGAGCCAAACTGGTTAGGGCTGATCATTACTTTTAAAGTAAAATACTAAAATACACATGCATTAAAAAAAGATCTGAAGAAAATATTTAAAAAACATAAGTAGCAGTTATCTCTGATAGGGTCATAGGTGATTTGTTTTTATACTTTTCACATTTATATATGGTGCTACAATAAATGGATATCATTTTCATTTTTATGAGAAATAATTCATTAACTATATAATATACACACAAAAAAAAGTTTATTTCCATATCCAAATTCAAAACCAAATTACACTGATTGGGAAATTCTTTGGTACTTCTGGATATAACACATCTTTACAACTATTTCTTTACCAGCCTCAATCAGTGTTTTTCAAATCTGAAGGCAAAAACTTCAACAGAAAACCGATGCTATGCTTGAAAATATAAATCAGAATAATGTTTTTTTGGAGAGTAACTTGACAATAATGCATATTTCTGAAGATATTGGTAAGTAATCTTTTGATTAAGTTATTCAACTTCTAGGACCAAATAATCATGATATATGCAAGTAGATTACCATATAAGTTAATGGTGGTAATATTTATAACAAAAAGACTGGAAGCAATGTAAATATTCAATAAGGGACTAGCTGAATAAATTATACGTCCATATAATGGAATACTACCTAATCAAAAATAAAAATAGCTCTGGCCAGTGTGGCTCAGCTGGCTAGAACGTCATTCTGTGCATCAATGAGTCCAATTCTTGGTTGGGAAACATGCCCTGGTTATGGGTTTGATCTTGAGTTTGTGTGTGTGTAGGAGGCAGCTGATCTATGTTTTTATTCTCATATCAATGTTTCTCTCTCTCCCTCTTCCTTTCTCTCTAAAATCAATAATAAAACAAAAAGCATGCACTTGGGTGAACATTAAGAAAAAGAGAAAATAGCAAGTGTTTATTAAATAAATGGTGATCTCATATGAAGAACGCTTAGATACCTAAGAGAATCAATTTTAAAACTTAATTCTTAGAGGATCCTTTCCACTGATAATTTCATAATCATTTGCTTTGACTTACAGAGCTGAAGATAAGCCTCAATTATTACACCTAATGAGTTATAATTCTATAATAATTACTATACCTTACATTCACTTGCATATTTAATCCTCATGTCATCTTTATGAGGAAAGTGCTGTTATTACATCTGTATTGTACAGATGAAGAAACCAGGGCTGGAAAGATCTTACTGAAGACCATGAAGAAAGTAAGTAGTGGAGGTAAAACTTGAGCACCTTGGTATGTCACACCTGTATGTCGAAGCTAGTAACCATGACTCTATACTGCACTTTTCCTTTTATTTCTGTTTTAAAGAATAATCTTAGGTAGGTGAGGACTACTACTTGTTAAGAATATCTATCTATCTATCTATCTATCTATCTATCTATCTATCTATCTGAGCCAAAGTGACCAAACGAGCTGTTGCTATAATATGCACTCAACCCACAGGATCAGGTTCCCTCCTGCCTGGATCAGGCCTGTGGGGATTGGGCGGAAACTGGCTATTTGACATCCCCCAAGGGGTTCCGGATTGTGAGAGGATGCAGACCAAGCCAAGGGACCCCACCAGTGCACGAATCTGTACACTGGGCCTCTAGTGATTTCCTAACATCTAATTTGACTTAACTGAATTACTGAAAAAGTATAAAAGACTTATTGCCCAAATATTTCCAAAATAGAACGAAAAATAAATTTATCCAAATAGTAAAATCCTGCATAATGTACATCTCAAGAACTAAAATTTAAATATTATGGGCCTGGCAATGGATTCCAATCTTCCTCTCTATGACCCATTCTCAAATATGGGTGGACTAAATCTATGTCTGTTGTAGGGAGTAGACATGGTATGCAGAAAATGGGACCATCGGTCTCAGTATTATCTTGGCCCAAACTGATTGGGAGATTCCTAGAATAAGCTCACTTGAGACTGTCAGTTCATCACAGAACTCAGAATATTTCAGCTGGAGCAGAAAACTGTCACTAGGTGACAACAAACTGCAGTGGGACAGGGAGAAATATGAATTCGGCAGGTAGACTTCCTGCACTTCAAGCTAGTTTAACTGTACGGACCTGCTCCATCATCTCATTAACTTCACAATAACATCACTCCTCATTGTATGTGTTTGAAAATTTTACTCTATTTCTGTTATGGTGGGGTTTATGAATTAAAATCACCTTTTCTGGACATTTATCTTACTGTGGTGACATATCTGACACATACACTTACATCAACAGAAGAACTGATACTGCTCCTTGAGCCTGAGGTACTAGCAATCCAGTGGCCATATCCATTTTCTGGTCCATCCACATTAATGTCTGCTAAGTGCTGCTGCAATGCTTAAAATAAATGAGAAGAAAAACAAAACCCATCAAATCAACCCCTTTAAGGAAGATCCATTACCAGAGAAGTATAATAAACATGTCATAACTGAATGCAAAAGGATCCACAGACATAATCACAGGTATTTCGTTCTGCACCTCTGAAAAGGAGCAAAGGAGTCCAAGCCACAGAGACCCTTCCTTTTCTCTTCTCCTTCCTTCCAATGCCCTCTGTACACATATTGCTTTTCTTAACTGATCCTAAGGGTGACAATAACTGTATATATAAGCTTTATATTTTCCTTTTTGGAAGGTAATCTTTTAAGTATTAATAGATGCTTTCAGCAACATTTTCTTATGACACAGAAGATTAATAGAAAACTTATTGTTACACCTGAAACAAATACAAAGTAATATTGAATAATTAAAAATAAAAATCTACTGTGACTTTTGTTTTACCATAAGGAAATATCCATATTTGCCATAATAATAAAAGCAGTCCAGGCATTGTTATGGAAAGAAAGGTTTTTCTTGGAAAATAAATAATTCATACCTTAAGGCCAATACTTGCTTAACACTTTATTAAAATAATCCCTTCTGTAGATCACTCTATATATGAGCCTCAAAGATAATTACGTTATCAGGCCACGATATATGGGAGGTAATCATGATACTTGCTAATGTTATAAAGACCAAGAGAAAACAGATACTAATCTACCAAAATTCTAAGTTATGACATAACGTAATTATCACTTCTTTTTTGTGGTGGGAATAATGAAGATCTAATCTCTTTGCAAGTTTGATGATCACAATACAGTACCATTGCCTATACTCACTATACTGTACATTAGTACTGCAGGACTTATTACTAGTTCCAAGTCTGTCCTCTTAAATAACATCTCTTATAAAAAACAAAAATTCTAAATGTTATTATTCTGACCTAATTATTCATAAATTCTCAAATATTTGCCTGCAGAGATTTTGTCAATTATTTTACTAACCTGGATTACCAGATATTAGTCTGCAGAATTGAAAACATCAACTTGTTTTATTCCATTGAGCCAACATTTTTCTAGCAGCTAATACCTTCAAGTAGTTAAAAAATAAAATGAAAACAAAACAAATTTAAAAAGCAAGAGCAGAAAAGGTATACAGATACAGTGAAAAGTATTCTTCCTACTCCTTTCCTAGATCCTATCTACTCCTCTGTAGAGGCAAGTCATGTGGGCAGTTATTCAGTCATTTTAACATATCTATTTAGAGTCTTTCATTATATATTTATCAATTTCCTATTATATTTGTCTATTATCTATGTTCTGCTGGCTTTGTCTTTTCTGAAAATACTGAATGACTTAAGAGAGAAAATATCCATTAACTGACTTAGTTACTACAAATCAGCTCTGGTTAATATAATTTTCACTGAAAAGTGGTGGCAAAGGGATTAATGAATGAAAATCTTACCCATAAATCCTCCACTGGCAATGCTCACATATTCTTTGTTTTTCTGTAATAGAATAAAAAATTTAAATTATTCCAAAATGCAATATAATTAAAACTTCTGAAATTCTATAAACATTGACAAGTATAATATAAGGTTATATGCTAACATTATGGATTTTGGCACAGAGAGGTAAATACATTTACCTTGTGTATTTTAAGGTCTGGTACTTGGGTGGGAAGAAAGGAACAACTTCATGGTTCTAACAAGACTGTAATTTTATTTGTATTACAATTCCAATAGTGCAAATAAAGGTCAAATGAAAAATAGTTAAGTTGTATTTTTGGATATAATTAGAGTGTTGTTGTTTTTTAATTTCCAAAATAGTGTGTCCTTTATAAAAAGGAAATATAAAAGCAAATATTCAGAATGAAAAAAAATGACAGAATGTTACCATTTTACAAATAATTTCTCCCCCAACAAATACATGCAAGGAAAAATATTTTGAAAGAGAACTTATAAATCTATAAATTCAAAAAGACTTAAAAAGTTATCATCCAAGTACAATGTTTGGTTTTGGATTTGGGGAAAAGCAGGGAAACTTGAGCACTACGTTATTTTTTTTTTAAATATTTTTTATTGATTTTTTACAGAGAGGAAAGGAGAGGGATAGAGAGTTAGAAACATCGATGAGAGAGAATCATCAATCAGCTGCCTTTTGGACACCTCTTACTGGGGATGTGCCCACAACCCAGGTACATGCCCTTGACCGAAATCGAACCCAGGACCTTTCAGTCCGCAGGCTGATGCTCTATTCACCGAGCCAAATCGGTTTCGGCTGAGCACTAGGTTATTTTTTATAATAAAGTCTAATAATGACAATGACAGATTATATCTGTATAAAGTGTTTATAGGGTTCAATTCTCTGCACTTCTAGATTTGTTTGAAATTATCCATGATAAAAATTGGGGGCGGGGGAGAGGGGGGAAGATTTCTAAACCACATTAAGAACTTGAATTATAAAAATAGAATTCACAATATTCCAAATTTTGGCGATCTGACATCCCTTACAATTAGGAGTTTATACCAGATCATTTTTAGAATAGGCCAACTAAATTTATAAGTAAAAATGAGTTTGAGTCCCTATTTGTTATTCTATATGTCTCTAAAATCTTTTCTTTAATAAAGTACAAAGTTATCTTATAGTCTCTCCCCAAATACCTCATTACTTCTTTCATCCTGTCTTTCAAGGATTCTGTCCTCCACAATAATATTCTCAAACCTGATTCTCAGGAAAATACAACATGAATAGAAAGGACCCAAATTGAGTGGCTTGTGCAGCACCACACCACTGTCTTCCTGATTCCACAGTTAAGGGTTACACAAAGAGGACTTTAAAGTATAAAGTACCAAAGAATACCTGATAAACAGCTATTTTTATAAATAAAGAGCCATAACTGAGTATGGCTTTGCAAAGAAGGGAGGGGAACAGATTGCATAAAGTCACTAATGCAGATTAGTTACGCTGAAAGTAATTTATATTCAAACACACAAAAAGAGGTGGCTAAAAATAGTGAATATATTAAAATGAATTACACAGCTACTATAAATAGTCTTAGGACAAGAATAAAGATAAAGATCAATGCAATGGAATAATCCAGAAACAGATGTTAATGCATATAAGAATTTAGTATATTAAAATTGTGGTATTTCAAATTGATAACACACCTGGTTAGCTAACTGGAAAAAAAAATTATTATTTTTTTGCTTCCTACCTATTTTTTACATAGAAAATCATTACAGACAATTAATTCACAACTTAAACAAAAACAGAAACCTGATAAGCATGCAAGAAAATTCTGGGGAAAGACCTTTCTTGGCAAGACACAAAATATACAAGCTGTGAAAAGTAAAAATACAGCCCAGCTGGTGTCACTCAATGGTTGAGTGTCATGGTTTGATTCCCAGTCAGGGTATATGCCCGAGTTGCGGGCTCAATCCCCAGTAGGGGGCATGCAGGAGTCAGCCAATCAATTATTCTCTCTCATCACTGATGCTTCTAGCTCTCTCCCTCTCCCTTTCTCTCTGAAATAAAAAATATATTAAAAAAAATCACGAAAACATAGATAAATTTGACAATGTAGATAACAGCACAAAAATGCCTATGAGAATTTCTTGAAGGTGATAGCAATAACAAAGCAAAACTGAAACAATCTGTCAGCATACCTGTAAGAAGTGTGCCAGGACCATGTTCATATACATGTCTTCTTCCTCTCTGCCACTGCCCATGAAACAGAGGTGTTCCCCACCAGCAATGGAGCCAGACTCAATGGACTGCTTCTGTGCTTCCAGCAAGGACTTTACTGACTGTGCAAACTCGGATGGATTCTGGAGCATCTAGACAATTTAAAAAAATTTTTAAACATTGCCCACCCTGTGTTTCACAAACATTTGCAAAACCTGAAATAGTTTTCTAGGGGCCAAAACACATTTAAATAGCCACCATGAAAACAACAACAAAAAAAGAAAAGGCTCTTATAAATAAAATCCATGGGCTAAGAAAAAAGAAATATGTGTAGCCGAAACCGGTTTGGCTCAGTGGATAGAGCGTCGGCCTGCAGACTGAAAGGTCCAGGGTTCGATTCCGGTCAAGGGCATGTACCTTGGTTGCAGGCACATCCCCAGTAGGGAGTGTGCAAGAGGCAGCTGATCGATCTTTCTCTCTCATCGATGGTTCTAACTCTCTATCCCTCTCTCTTCCTCTGTAAAAAATCAATAAATATATTTAAATCGAACTTGGGACCTTTCAGTCCACAGGCCAACACTCTATCCACTGAGCCAAACCGGTTTCGGCAATAAAATATCTTTAAAAAAAAAAAAAAAGAAATAATATATGAAAACTAAAGTTGAAAATTTACTGAAACATTAAACTAGCTGTACAGTGGTCCATGGAACAGATATACCATTATACAAAATAAACATCCTTCTAGAAAAAAAATGTGCGGTTACTGTTTGTTTCTTAAACAATAAGCTCCAGTGTTCCTAACACTGAGTGGAATAGTCCACAACTAAAAATAACACGCTGAAAACAAGCTATATTTTTTTATTTTCACTTACACAGCAAGCCATGTATTTCTTAGAGGACAGTCAGAAATAGCAGCAAATTTTTTTTTATTAGCACTATTACAGGTACTAGAGAAAAAGGAATGAAAAAATTTCTCACTCTCAAGGAAACAACTATGCTAATAACCACACTTATTTTTTGAAACTACTATACTAGGGCACATTAAAAAAAAGCACAGTGAAAATCCAATAGAAAAATGAACAAACCATAGAAGCAATTTGCTAAATAATTAAACAAACAGCAAACTTGCAAAGGATGCTTAACATTACTAGTAATTACCACGTTTTTCATCCATCATTCTTAGAAAGTAAAATACAACTGGTGATGTCCACTAATGCTGAATGTAGAAAACATTCATTCTAATATACGGCTGTATAGTATAAAGGTTCAGCCTTTTTAAAGAAAAATATGGCAGTTGTCACTTTTAATATTTTACACATCCACACCTCTCAACCCAATAACTCTACTTTAAGGAATCTGTTTTACAGAAATATTTGCACGAGTTCATAATGTGTACAGGATATTAACTGCACTGATTATTATAAGACAACTGAAAACAACCAAAATGTACATCAATCAAACAATAAATTATGGTATATCTGTACTATGGACCAAATACAGCCATTAAAAAGAATTTTTCCCCCATAGCTCCCCTCCACCTGGTTCCCATCGCACCCTCAGCCCTTACCCACCTCACCTCACTGTCCTCATCAATAGGTGTACGAATTTTGTCAGTCTCTTCCTGCACCCCCTCATCCTCGCCCCCTCCCCTCCGAGAATTGTCAGTCCACTCCCTTTCTATACCCCTGATTCTATTATATTTACCAGTTTATTCTGTTTATCAGATTTTTTTATTTACTTGATTTTTAGATTCACTTGTTGATAGATATGTATTTGTTGATCATAATTTTTTATCTTTACCTTTTTCTTCTTCCTCTTCTTAAAGACTACCTTTCAGAATTTCATATAATACTGGTTTGGTGATGATGACTCCTTTAGCCTTTTCTTATTTGTGAAGCTCTTTATCTGCCCTTTAATTCTGAATGATAGTTTTGCTGGGTAGAGTAATCTTGGCTCTAGGTTTTTGCTATTCATCATTTTGAATATTTCTTGCCTCTCCCTTCTGGCCTGCATAGTTTCTGTTGAAAATCAGCTGACAGTCGTATGGATGCTCCCTTGTAAGTAACTGTTTTTCTCTTGCTGCTTTTAATATTCTCTGTCTTTTGCTCTTGGCATTTTAGTTATGATGTGTCTTGGTAGTGGTCCTCTTTGGATTCCTTTTGTTTGGGGTTCTCTGTGCTTCCTGGACTTGCAAGTCTATTTCTTTCACCAGGTGGGGGAAATTTTCAGTCATTATTTCTTCAAATAGATTTTTAATATTTGCTCTTTCTCTTCTTCTGACACCCCCATAATTCTAATGTTGGTACGCTTGAATTTGTCCCAGAGGTTCGTTATACTATCTTCACATTTTTGGATTCTCTTCTCTTCTTGCTTCTCCAAAGGAGTGTCCTTTGCCTCTTTGTATTTCAAATCTTTGACTTGATTCTTGCAATCCTCTAGTCTGTTGTTGGAACTCTGTGTAATACTTTTTATTTCAGTCAGTGTATGCTTAATTTCTAGTTGGTCCTATTTTTTTTTTTTATAAATATATTTTATTGATTTTTTACAGAGAGGAAGGGAGAGAGATAGAGAGCTAGAAACGTCAATGAGAGAGAAACACTGACGAGCTGCCTCCTGCACATCCCTACCGGGGATGTGCCCGCAACCAATATGTATGCCTTTGACCGGAATCGAATCTGAGACCCTTCAGTCTGCAGACCGACGCTCTACCACTGAGCCAAACCAGTTCGGCTAGTTGGTCCTTTTTCAAATCCTTGAGGGTTTCGTTAAATTTATCGGCCTTTTCTAGAAAATTCTTGAAAAACCTTATAACCATGGTTTTGAATTCTATATCCAGTAGTTTGCTTTCCTCCTTTCTTTCATTTGTGATCTTTTTCTTTGTCTCCACATAATAGGAGTGGCTTTGTGTGCTAGGTGTCCTATAGGGCCCAGCGGCTCAGCCTCCTCAGTTACTTGGACACTCTTGGTGCACCCCTTTGTGGGCTGTGTGCACAGTCTTGTTGTAGTTAAGCCTTGATTGTTGTTGGTATCATTCGGAGGAATTGACCTCCAGGCCAATTGGCTTGAAGATCAGTTGTGTCTACATTGGGAGAACTTCGGTGCTGGAGACATCCTTATGAGATAAGACTTGCAAAAGCCTCTGTGCTCAGCTTGGATGGGGCGGTGCTTAATTTGGCTTCCTGTCAGCCCTGCCATAATAGTCTCCTGTGTCTCAGTGTCCCGTTGTAATCGCTGCAAGCACCTCTGAAAGAAAGCCACCCTCGAGTTCCGCCCGCTGACAGACAGTCCAGTTTCTCCCCAAATGAGTCTGGGTCTGCAGAGTATCGCCTGAAACTGGAGTTCAGTGCAGCCAGGAGCTTTTGTCTCCCTCTCGCTTGAGAAAGCCAGCTGCATACTCAGTTGCCCACCAAGCGTGCCTTCGGCAGTTCCTCTGAGTCTCACTGTGCTTTTCTCTTTCCTGACAATCCAGTTTCACCCTGAATGAGTCTGGGTCCCCAGAGTCTCGCCTGGAACTGAAGTTAAGCGAAGTTGGGAACTTTTGTCTCCCTCCCACTTGAGAAAGCCAGCCGCGCACTCAGTTGCCAGTCTTTTCCGCACATGCACATCTCAGTACCTCTGCCTCCTACAGCTTCTCTGAGTCTCAGTGTGCTTTTCTCTTTCCTTCTAGTTGTAGAATTTCCACTCAGCCAGCCTTCCTGTGGTTCTGGATGATGTCTGTTTTGTCTTTTAGTTGTAGTTTGGAAATTTTTGTGTGAGGCAGCAGTTTAGGTGTTTACCTATGCTATCATCTTGGTTTCTCCGAGATTCTCTGATATTTATTTTTAATTCAAGTATTTGTGAATCACTTGAGTAAATTTTAAAACCATCTAAGTCTTCCTACTCTAATCAAGGAAGAGAAAGGCACAGAGTTCACTTTCAGGATACAAACAAGCTAGGATAGACTTTTTCACCTACAGCACCCAAAACTCTCGGGATTGTTTTCCCTTCATTTTCCAGGAGTTTCCCCTCAACACCACCTAAGTCTTTCTACCTGCTCTTTCAGTCTTAGTATCAATTTTTTCAGACATGCTGGGAAAAGGGCAGACTGCACCATCAGCAAAAGTTTTTACTGCTCTTTTCATCTTCCCTATCCCCGAGGCTCCAATAACCCCGTTAACAGCTTAAATGACATCAGTACCAAGTCTACCAACTGCCCTAAGCATCTCTGACAATATTTAACTATTTACCTCATCTATTTCTTCAATTCAAGTGACCAGAGGATACAAATTTTAACAACTTAGCACCTATATGCCGAGATACTACCCTTATTAAGTATTAGTTTATTATGTACATAGTATTCATGACAGATAAAAAGGCTTATAATAAAAGCTTTTAAAATAATTACACAATTATAAAAGAGCTAATATTTACAGAGTAGTTACTAGGTGCAAAGCACTATGCTAAGTGCTATAACAGGTAGCTTGTAGTAAGAAGTTTAGAATTTATTGACATAACAATGGTAAGCAATAGTAAGCCATAGTAAACAATGTTTTCATCTATCCTTTAGGATGCCAAAAGGGTGTCCTGAGTGAAAAGGCAATCCAAGAGCAACTTTTATCATAAGGACAGAAACTCTCTCCTTAAGCAGAATAAAAAACATCCCTAAATTAGATACATCTATATTTATAAGTTAAAGAAAAAAGATTTCTTTTGTTAATTAATATAAATTAATAAGCATTTATACTAACCAGATCTGAATCTAAGTGGAAAGCAGTTGATAAATGTCCAGCATTATACTGTTCTGCAGGACGGCAATCCACCACAAAGAACCGGACTCCTTCCTAAGAAAGAAACAATTTTTTGATGTACTGTAATTTGCCATAAGAGTTATATTTTAGACAATACTAATAACCAAAGAAGGGGAAACAAGTTTCTAAAAAAATGATCTCACATAGATCAGGATGACCCAATCAATACAGATATAAGAAAATTACCTCAAGATCCTAAAAAATTATATTAATTTAAAACATAAACATAAATTTTGTATATACTGTTCTTGACCAGATAGTCTTAAAATATGTAACAGGAAAATGTCAGTTTGAATTATAAAACTAATTATAATATATTGGAATTTAATTTTTTTAATGTGTATCATGTTTAACAATTTTCAAAAAATCATATAGTTACAAATACAAATCTAGATACAATTCCTGTTTCTGCAAATAAATCCAGAAACTTATCAATAATTCAATTCACTTAAGAAATAAATGTTTTTGGTGGGTGAGGGGAGGTATTATAATTGCAGTTTGAACTGAGGAAGTTCATACGGGTCTCATTAAACTATATTACATATTTTCATTTGTTTTTTTAATAATAATTCTAATAAGAAAAATATGTAAATTACTTGTTTTAAAAAGATCTATTGTCAAAGGCATTTTCCCATGTTTATTCCTCTTTCCTCTTTGGAAATACATCCCACATTCCAAATACATACTTCCATGGGTAAATGTTGCAATACAAGTATAATAATAGTTCTTCAAGTCTCCTTTGTTAGATGCTTTATGGCATTTAACTCTGAAATTTAATTAGTTGTGTAACAACCCAGACTTTAACTGTTAAATACTAAATTCACTCTGTTAAGTACTTTATACACCATTCAGTTGCTTTGCTAAAACGAAAAAGGTTTAACAGTTTACAAAAATTGGTGTAAAAAATAATCAGTTGTTGAAAATTAAAATAACACCATACTGGCAGTTTAAAAATGACCATCTGGACAGAAGATTTAGCACATTAATCACCAAAAAAAGCAAAATAGCTACCTTTTTGTAGTAGATTAATTTTGTAGTAGATTAATTTTGTAGTAGATTAAATTTTAATTAATTTTAAAATCATCAAACAGGGAGGAAATACTGGTTCCTTGTATTTAAAGGGGACGGTCTTGCCTTAGCCAGTTTGGCTCAGTGGACAGAGCATCGACCTGCAGACCAAAGGGTCCCGGGTTCAATTCTGGTCAAGGGCACGTACCTTGGTTGCAGGTTCCTCCCTGGCCCAGGCTTTGATCTGGGCTCATGCAGGAGGCAACCAATTGATGTATTTCTCTCACATGGATGTTTCTCTCTGTCTTTCCCTCTCTCTTACACTTTCCTGAAAAATCAATGGAAAAATATTCTCGGGAGAGGATTAACAACAACAACAACAAAATAATAATAATAAAAATAAAAAATAAAAGGGACAGTCCTCTGACAGGGCTTTCTTTACTTACCCCCTGCAGCTGATTTGCTTGAAGGATCTCTGAGACCGAGATGGCCAGACAAAGAGCCTGACTCAGATCTGCCTCATCATCCTTAATTCCCAACAAAGTACTACCAAATAGATGGTGATTATCCTGTTTGAAGAGAAGATTTAAAAATACCATAAAGAAAAAACAAAATAAAAATTTCTTTCTAAAATATACCAGGGTAAGAGCTAAAATAATTATATAATATCCTTGAGACATGTAATTTTTAAAGCTTAATATATCATCTCAAATCTTATAAGCTAAAAGCTACAAAAAGATAAGTCCTGTCAGAGTTCACACAGAATTAAAAAAAATGAAATAACACATTCTTTAAAGTATTTTCCAAACTATCACCTGTAGCTGAATACTAAATTTTAAAATTGGTTACTTACAACTTTTCATATTTTGATACAATAAAAACAAATATATGGTATAAATGAATTGCATAAATGAAGACACTGATTATACAGTACAGTCTGCTCTAATTAGCCAATGCTAGTGCAGATCATTTACTATGTCTGAATAAAAGCTGTTCCTCTTAAGAGAATGAAAAGAAAAGTATCGGGTATAGTAATAATTAATGTCGTTTAAAACATTCGTTTAAAATCTTGCTTGGCGTTGACTTGTATTGACATAACCTTCAAACACGTGGTATCTACAGAACGTGTGAAGTGCAATTAACAAGTTTTGCTTGAAAAAGTTTGTGTTTGGTTTGGTTTTTGTTGCAAAACTAGGGCTAAGAAGATGGCGGATGAAGAGCATATTCAGCACTGCATGCTTTACGAGTTCCAATTAGGAAGAAAAGCAAGTGAGGCTGCAAAAAACATCTGTAGTGCTCTTGGTCAAGATGCAGTTAGCACCAGAAAATGCCAGCGTTGGTTTGAGAAATTTCGCGAGGGAAATTTTTCGTTAGATGACAAGAGTGGTTGAGGCCGTGTGTCCCATTTTGATCAAGAAGCTCTTCAAGCTCTTTTGGTACAGAATCCTCAAATTACCCAACAAGAGCTTGCGACAACTTTAAATTGTTCACAAAAAACAATTTCCAATCAATTGCGTGCACTTGGCAAAGTCCAAAAGTTTGGAAAATGGGTTCCTCATGAGTTGACCGACAACAACCTTAATCAAAGAGTCACAATTTGCAGTTCGCTCCTCTCTTGTCAAAACTGTTTGCCGTTTTTAGAGCAAATTGTTACCGGAGATGGAAAATGGGTGCTGTATGTTAATTTGAAAAGGCGGCCTCAATGGTTGGACAAAAATGAGGCTCCGCAGCCCACGCCAAAACCTGACTTGCATGCAAAAAAAGTGATGTTGTGTGTTTGGTGGAATTTTAAAGGAATTCTTCATTATGAACTTTTACCATCTAACCAAACCATTACAAGTGCAGTGTATAGTGCCCAATTGGAAAGGTTAGCCCAAGCTTTAAGAGAAAAAGAACCCGCGCTGATTAATCGGAAGGGCGTAATTCTTCACCACGATTACGCACGACCGCACACTGCAAGAATCACTGCTGAAAAACTGCGCCAGTTGGAATGGGAAGTTCTCCCTCAACCTGCATATTCTCCTGATATTGCCCCTTCCGATTACCATTTGTTTCGTTCTTTGCAAAACTTTCTTCTTGGAAAAAAATTTAATAATGAAGAATGCCTCAAAAATGCATTGACCGAATTTTTTGCATCAAAATCACAAGAATTTTACAATAGAGGGATTAAAATGCTTCCTGAGCGTTGGGCACAAGTAGTAGAAAACAACGGCAACTATATTGTTGATTAAATTTTGTTGTATTGTTTAAATAAATTCGATTTAAAAAAGTATTAGAAAACGACATTAATTATTACTAGACCTAATATAAAACTTCTTTTCATCCAGCATCCTAAATCACTATCCCATAATCTGACTATACAACATTTTGAGAACTAAGGAGATTTATATGAGGTATGAGGCAATTATAAAATAGCTGAAATTAGTCCCTAGAAATAAAACAAATCTCTTTTTTAATTAGTTTTTTAAAAAAAGTTCTTAAAAGGTTTCCCTTAACTGCCTTCTGAAACATGCTATACTGAACATAACCTCATCTTGATGTTTCAGTGACATGATAACTACCAACTAGCAATTATTATGGTACAATGCATTTAAAAAAATAGGCACTTAATGCTCTCATTGGCACCTGAGATCACAGACAAACTGTGTGCCATAATAGTTGTTAAAGTACTTCTCTGCCTCCTTCACCATTAGCTTTTGCTTCCTGGAGTTTTACTTTCTAGGAGCTCACACCACTTATGCTTCTAATCTGGTGTCCTTTCTCTTGAAAGCACCTATCTGGTCTGAGAAAGATTCCAGGTTTTTATAAGGCTAAGTGATCCTTGTCTGCTTACAAGACCGCTCTGCATCAGTAAAGTGCAAAGCTGAACTCCAGATAAAGAAAGCATAGTTATGGCCCCATCAGATGTGTGTGTGTGTGTGTGTGTGTTTAGATTTTTGTAATACAATTTTTATAAGAGAGCACTAATTTAAGAAATATAGTCAATATTCTAATGATCAGAAATAACTAATAATCAGAGTATAGTAGAGTAATTATAGCACATCTGTATACTATCTTTTTTAATCTGTGTGTTCTCCACGAGGGAGAGTATTTATAGTAGAAAATCACACAAAGTGTAACACATAAAAAGACGGAAAAGAAAACCAATCTCGAGTTATTTAACTAAAATGGATAATGTAAACAATAAAACAATGTGCAAAATGTGAAGTAGTGAATAGTTTGCAATTTCCTGTTTATACCTTTCTAAATGAAGCTGGTGTTTTACTGCAATAATACTGAGCCAAAGAGAAAAGGTCTTCTATATCTTCTAGATTCAAACTGGATGGAGTTTTTTCCAAGAACTCTGAAATAGGAGTATAGAGATAACAACATTTAAAAAATTCTTTGTGAAGAATATAATAAACATTATTTATGTATCAAAGCTGGAATGTGCTCAACATAATAAAAATTATATAAATGGAATCTCAACAGTGATGCCTGTAAAACTGTTTGGGGAGAAGTGGATTTCTCCAAAGGAGCTGAAACTATTTATGCAATTTTGTTAGTGAATGATGCTGTCAGGCAATCAAATCAAATACATTAGCCTTGATTAGAATACTGTAATTTATTTATTTAACAAACACCGAGTAAGGGCCAGGGTATGTGAAATAAAAATGACTAAGAAATAATACCTGACTTAAGGAAGCTTGTCTTGTGTGAGAATGTTAAAAAAAAATCTTTAGCCGAAACCGGTTTGGCTCAGTGGTAGAGCGTCAGTCTGTGGACTGAAAGGTCCCAGGTTCGATTCCGGTCAAGGGCATATTCTGGTTGCGGGCACATCCCAGGTAGGGGGTGTGCAAGAGGCAACTGGTCGATGTTTCTCTCTCATCGACGTTTCTAGCTCTCTATCTCTCTCCCTTCCTCTCTGTAAAAAAATCAATAAAATATATATTTTTAAAAAAAAATCTTTAAAATGTTAACAAGATAAACACTGTAATATAGATAACACAAAGTGCTAGGCAATGTATAAAGGAAAATAGCAAATCTGTTGTGTTAGAGGGGTGAGAAGAACCCAAAAAGAGAACCAAGGTTTCACAATGTAGATATTATTGAAGCAGAGTATTGAAAAGTAAACTGAGGAAGAATGAAGGGGGCTGGAAAGGAAGGGGGCAGGAGAGAAAGAAAGAAAGAGGGAGACAAGAGAGGAAGGCAAGGAGGGAGATAAGAAGAGAAGGAGGGAGAAAAAGAGAAGAAGGGAGAAAGGGACAGGAGGGGAGGACAGGAATTTTATTTGAACAAGGAAATCAAAGAAATAGTATATGGAAAGGAATGAAAGAACATGAATGAATGAATGAATGAATGAATGAATGAATGAATGAGTATAGCAAAAGTAGGGGAAATAGTCTAACATTTGTACCTGAAGATTAAGGAAGAGTTGAATAGGACTTTAGAGCTTTTCTAGACTAGTCCCCTAAGTTTATAGCTGAGGAAACCGAGTTTGATAAAACTAAGTTATACTAAGTGAAATAAGCCAGCCTGAGAAAGGTAAATATCATATGATCTCACTCATTTGTAGACTATAATGAGCAAAAACTGATGAACAAAAATAGATCCAGAGACATAGAAGCATCAAACAGACTGTCCAACCTATGAGGGAAGGCGGAGGGTGTGGGGGTAAGAGATCAACCAAATGACTTGCTTGCATACATATGAGCATAACCAATGGACACAGACAGTAGGGGGGCGAGGGCATGAGCTAGGGGCTGGTAGGGGGGAGAGGTCAATAAGGGAAAAGGGAGACTCATGTAATACTTTAAACAATAAAGAACTTAAATTAAAAATAAAAATAAATAAATAAAACTAAGTGACAAAATTATAATATCTACATTAAATTCTACTTACGGATAACTTCTTCCTTGTTGTCAGACTCCTGTGCTAAAATAACTTCTCTGTAAAAAAAAAAAAAAAAAAAGTCAAATGAGTTCAACGTTAACAGACCACCCTGAGACCAGACAAGAGAAAAATCTAACCAACTTGATACTTACTTTGCATTAACAAGGATTATTAACATTAAAAAATAAATAAAAAATGGATCTGCTTGTTGTAGATATCCATCCCATAACGCCTCTGTGACTTCAATGGAACAGTAACATGCAAAAAGGCTTCCAAGCTGTAATCAGAAAATGAATGATGAACATAAGCAATTAGAAATGACTTGTTCTTTTAAAAATATTAAATGCATAAATAACTCTAAATCAAGATATCAGCGCCTGAAAATGAGTGTGTACTTTTAGTATTCAGAATCCAAAGGCAGAACATGTGGATTCAAATCACAGAGGAGCCATGTACTAGCTGTCTGACTTAGGGCATGAAACAAACTTAAAAGCTTCCATTTCTACTTCTGATAAAAAATAAAAATACTACTACCCACCTTCTTACATTGTTGTGAAGAGAGATAATTAACCTAGACTTTTTAAAGTACCATATATTTACCATAGCCTAATAACTAACAATTACTACCTAGCTCTCTAAGGATAACTAGCATAATTATTACAGTACCTAATTTACTAATACAAGGTAATTGTGAAAATCAAACACAGCAATTGAAAAGCACCTAAAAGTATTTAATGACAATATAAATGTGAATTGCTCCCAAAGCTTACTTGTATGTCATTTGAAATGTATGAGACAACATTTATACCCCAATAGGTTTCAAAAGCCTATGGTTTTTGCTTCCAAATAAAAAAATGTTAATGTATAAGTTTCTCTAGAGCACAACTGTGTTTTAAATTGCACAAATTCAATGATATTTTCCAATTCCATCAGATACAGAAACAATTCCATGTAGAAGTTTATTTTTTTTTAAATATTTTTATTGACTTTTTTACAGAGAGGAAGAGAGAGGGATAGAAAGTTAGAAACATCAATGAGAGAGAAACATCGATCAGCTGCTTCCTGCCCACCCCCCACTGGGGATGTGCCCACAACCAAGGTACATGCCCTTGACTGGAATGGAATCCGGGACCCTTCAGTCTGCAGGCCGATGCTCTATCCACTGAGCCAAACCAGTTTTGGCTGAAGTTTAAGTTTAAAACATTTCTTATGGCTAAAGGCAGCTAATGGGAATACATACATTTAGTACTAGAACACATACATGTTGTTCCAGACACTAAGCTACTGTCACAGTATTAAATATTTTTATTTAAAATATATCTTTATTTCAAATATTCTCACCACAGGCCTTCAAAGACATTTTTCTCCCCATTTTATAGGTGAGAAAACGAACTTGTATTAAATAACATTCCCAAGTTCTACTACTGGCTACTACTAATAGTTAGTGGTGATATTCAAACTAGACTAAAGACCTGAGATGCCACAGCCCACATACTACCATCACACTTGACCACAAAACTTTTAAAGTACATAATACTACTGATGTTTTTTGTTGTTTAAAAAATTACTCTTAAAAATAGGTCAGAAGATGCAAATATAAACAGAATAGCAATATGGCCATCATTAAACTCGCTTAACTAAACTAAAGCTAACACTGCACTGCTTACAGCTATGGGTTCTCAGGGTTTAAGGATTAGTTTTGTTTCGTCTCAGGTTAAAAAAGAAAAGCTCCATCCTAGCTGGTTTGGCTCAGTGGATAGTGTGTCGGCTTATGGACCAGGGGGAGGCAGCTGATCGATGTTTCTCTCATCGATGTTTCTAACTTTCTATCCCTCTCTCTTCCTCTCTGTAAAAAAAATCAATAAAAATATTAAAAAATAAATAAACTTCTTCATGGAATTGTTTCTGTATCTGATGGAATTGGAAAATATCATTGAATCTGTGCAATTTAAAACACAGTTGTGCTCTAGAGAAACTTATACATTAACATTTTTTTATTTGGAAGCGAAAACCATCCAGGGTAGATTCCAGTCAAGGGCACATATCTATCTCGGTTGCAGACTCCTCCTGGCCCAGGCCCTGGTTAGGGCTCATGCTGGAGGCAACCAATCGATGTGTTTCTCTCACTTCGATGTTTCTCTCTGTCCTTCCCTATCTCTTCCACTCTCCCTAAAAAACAATGAAAAAATATCCTTGGTGAGGATTAACAAAAAAGATTTAAAAAAAAACAAAACACAAAACTCCATTCTATAGAAATATTCATAGCAAGAATGAACTATTTGGGGTAATGAACGAAGAGAAATCAGTTTTTAGTACTTAAAATCTGCTACCAGCACTGAGTACTAATTCTGAATTCTGGTAACAGAAATAGCAATTCCTAGGCATGGTGTGACCAGAGAAACCTCCATTAAGTATCAGAATGTTAAAAAAAAAAAAAAAGGTTCCTTATATCAATACAAATAAGAAGTTAATGGCAAATATGTATCTCAGAGAACTGCTCAGAAGAGCAGTTCTCAAAGTTTGAGCAGTTTTCAAACCTGAGGATCCCGGAAGTCCCCAAGAGTATTTATAGGGGAATCAATGACGTGAAATAATACTTAGACTTTGTCTTTTTCATACTCATGCTTTCACAAATAAACAACAGAATGTTCCAAAGGCTACATCATGTGTAGTATCATCAGAGACTGCATCCAGAAGCAGATATGAGAATCTACTAAAAATTAATGAGATTTTCAAAAATATAAAACAATGCCAATGCTACTATTCTCACTAATTTTCTTCTGGAAAATATAGTTTACTTTTTATTTTAAAAGTAGGCTATTTATGTTAACATGCAATGGATTTATCATTACATCTAAATAAGTAAATACGTAAAACTTCTTAGTTTTAATTTCTAATGAACACAATCCATATAAACAATGAAACCTCAAAAAATGTTGTGTGTTAAGTGGCCCCAAGACCAAAAGATTTGAGAACACTGACCCAGAATAACAAACTTTCCACTCAACATAAAAATATAGAATATAAGAGCACTGAGATGTACATTATTTTCATGACTTAATATCACTTCTAATATAAATCATCAATGTAATCAAATTTAATTAAAGTAAACCAGTATTTATCATAGATTACATACACACACACACACACACACACACACACACACACACGAGTGCACAAAATTCATGTACAGGTGAAGGTCCCCCCGCCCCCCATAGGGTCGGGAAAGGAGGCAACAGTCGCTGGGCTGGGCATGGAATGAATAGAAGTCAGAGGCCGACGTCATCACCGCGTGGTTCCCCACCTCCCATTCTCCTCCTTCCCTCACCACCTGGCCACCACTGCAGTGGGCAGGCAGTGGGTTGATTGGGGCATGCTGGCCTGGGGGTGTAACAGAGCTCCGGAGGTTGGCCACCAGCCCTGAGGAGAGAGCTGGCCCTTGGTCCCCTTGGGAAAGGGGCTGAGTCTGCCACCACCCACCTCCAGGTCCCTGTCTCAGCCCGATCAGGCGATTGGGGCCAGCTAGCTGAGGGTGGAGGGACTATGGGAGATTGGCCAGGCAAAGGAGGTTGGCTGTGGGAGTGCGCTGATCACTAGGGGGCAGCTCCTGCATTGAGCGTCTGCCCCTTCGTAGTCAGTGCATGTCATAGTGACTGGTCATTTAATCCTAATGGTTGCTTAGGCTTTTATATATAGAGATGTGTAGATAAATATGTCACATATTTTATAAAACAAAAGGCTAAAGTTTGTATTAATATAAACGAACTTAAGTGAGGAGCAAAACAAGCTATTTATGAAGTGCCAATAATTTCACTCCTTTGGTTTAATGGTTGATAATTTAGTACTTTACTTTTTCTTCCTTGGGGAAAAATGTCTAATTAAAGTTTCATAAAAATCTATTTTTCATTAAATGTTCCTACTTTCACTTTATTACCCAGTTGAGTGCATAGGAGTCTGGAGTAATTTTCTTTGTATCAAGAAAAGAACAAAGTTCAGGCTCATGGTATTGGATGAGTAATCGGAAAAGATGAAAGGGTCTCCCCTTCAGGGAACAATCCCTAAAAGACAAAAGAAGAAAAGTTTCTTGCATTAATGGGTCAGAAATAATCACATCCGTAACCAATGCTCTTGTAATATCCACCTCCTCCCTACCCTCAGAACACCCGAACACCAGCCTATCTAATAAACCAGGCAGAGCTCTCTTGCTAACACTTTACGGACCTGACTAGACAGAAAGTCGTAGAAGCAACAGGCTCTGAGAACCACAAGCAGGGTCGCCTAAGACCATTGGAAAGCACAGATATTTACATTACGATTCATAACAGTAGCAAAATTACAGTTATGAAGTAGCAACGAAAATAAATTTGGTTGGGGGTCACCACAACATGAGGAACTGTATTAAAGGGTCGAAGCATTAGAAAGGTTGAAAACTACTGACTTAGACACTATAATGTTATTTTGATGTTATAGATGAAGAAATTAAAATAGGGATACCACTGAAAAAGTATAAAGAGCTATGCTACATATATATGTGTGTGTGTGTATATATATATATATATATATATATATATATATATATATATTCTAGAAGCATAAATTCTTAACTAAAGAATCCTTAAAATTTTTAATAATCACTAAGTCAAATAACAATTATGATTCCAACAACCTTCATAATTATTTAATCCTTTTACTTCACCACCAAAATATATCTAACAACTTTAACTCAAGCAAATTAGACGTTTTTAAAATAAGTAATTAAATCACATTTTACCTGGGGATGTACTTATTCATGATAGCATAAAAGCAGTTGTATAAATCGCTTCGTGGCAGTTGAAGATGCACCAGTGGTTTGAGTAGATGTATCCAGCTAAGGGACGTGCTATATTTAATGTTACGTGATTTACAATAAAAGGTGATTACAGATTCAACATCCAAAAGTAATTCTGTTGCCTTCTCTTCTGGCACTGAAAGCTGGTCTAGAAAATAAATGTCAAAATAAGGTTACTAAGGGCCTTTTAGAGGCTCAGTTTTTGGACATAACACTTATTTACAAATATATAACAAACATTATATTAGTTCATTTAGAGCAGAGGTTACCAGGTGGTCTGTGGGGTCAAAAAGGTTGGCAACCACTGATTTAGAGTAAGACAACACTATGTGAAAACACATCTTTCCTTATAGTTATTCAGTATTTACTGGCAGCTCAATATTTACTAACTTAATAATATTTGACCTATATATAGATCAAACAAGAATGGACCATCTGAAGTAGAAGAGCAGGAAAGAGTCATAACTCATATTCTTGGAAAGCAAAAACTGTTTTCTAAAGAGATTATCATCTACCCCGGGATGGGCAGCTACCTACAGCCTGGCCAAGGGCAGGGAAAATGATTCATTCTCTACCTCCAAATTCAATTTCCTTTGCCCACACCAGCAATGTTTCCTATGTGGTTAGTAAACAAAAGCCCACTTAATAATTTAACTAAAATATTTTTCTATAGTAGATCATGACCTATTATTTATAGATAAACTTTTAGAACACAGCCTCCTTTAATTTAGGACTACATGCAATTACATTAAAAAATTTAAAGCTGCATCAAAATTATAAAGACACTTGAAGAATTGAAAATAAAAGAATACTAAAAATTGGGCTCTCTTAAAATATTAGAAATTATTTCATAAGAAGTTCAAAATAAAAAATTTAAAGCTATTTACTAGCTCTTTAAAATTTGAAATATCACAAATTATAACAAGATAATGATTCCTCTACCCCAAAATTATTATTTCAAAAAAAATTTATTGTTTAAAAACAATTATTAAACTTACCAATAAACTCTAGACAATCTTTGTGAATAGTATTCTGTTCTGGCAGGTCTAAAATACCATCCCATGATGCCAAACTATCTCCTTTTCCTGCAACATTTAGAGCAATCTGGAAGAAAAAAACAACAAAAAACCCCAACTAACTTCATATGTTATCTTCCATCCTTGGAAAGATGCTATAACAATGGAAAGGTTTTGAATTTAGCAATAATGATAAATATTTCAAAGATTACAAAGTAATGTATCTACACTTCACCAAATGCTAAAACCTTAGTCATATTTCTTCTAAATTAAATTGTACTACTCCATGTCAATAGTGAGTTGTAAAATAACATAAAATATTTACATAGTTACATATGTAAATTTACTTTGAACAAATAACATCAATGCCATATAGCATGATATTTATGTCACCCATGCATATTGAAATCTGATGAGATGGTATTTGGTGGTGGGGCCTTTGGGAGGTGATTAGATCAGGAGGGTGGAGCCCTCATGAATGGAATTAGTGCTCTTATAAAAAAAGAGAGCTGCCTTTTTCCTCCAGCTATGGGAGGACGTGCACGTTAAGAAATTACTATCCTTTCAAGTTTAATGATTTTACGGTTATTTTAAGTCTATCTTTTAGACTTTCATACTAAAGTATTTTAGTGTGCCATCAAGGATTTGGTGTGTGTGTGTGTGTGTGTGTGTGTGTGTGTTGCATAAATTTTTATTGATTTCAGAGAGGAAAGAAGAGGGAGAGAGAGAGAAACATCAATGATGAGAGACAATCACTGACTGGTTGCCTTCTGCACACCACACGCACACTGGGGAATGAGCCCACAACCCAGGCATGTGCCCTGACTGGGAATCAAATGGTGACCTCTTGGTTCATAGGTCAACACTCAACCACTGAGCCACGCCAGCTGGGCCAATGATTTGTTTTAAAATAATCCAGTGTGGAGAGGAAACGATTGGGGTATTAATCAAACAAGATTGGCCAAATACTGATAATAGTTAAAGCTAAGAGGAGGCTCATTATATAAGTGTATCAAATTTCTGTGATAAAACATTCAGAATACTATGTACAGTTATAATTCCATTTATTTTGCCAAAACCAGTTTGGCTCAATGGATAGAGCGTCGGCTTGGGGACTGAAAGGTCCTGGGTTCAATTCCGGTCAAGGGCATGTACCTTGGTTGTGGGCATATCCCTAGTAGGGGGTGTGCAAGAGGCAGCTGATCGATGACTCTCTCTCATCGATGTTTCTAACTCTCTATTTCTCTTCCTTCTTCTCTGTACAAAATCAATAAAATATATTAAAAAATAATAATAATAATAATTCCATTTATTTTACATATATATGTACAAAGAGGTAAAAAGTAAAAAAAATATACACCAAGACATTGTGCTTTACATACAAGTGGTAGATAATAAATCATTTTTATCTTATTCTCTGCTTATATATTTTAATAAAAATAAGTATTTCTATTGTAATCATAACATCTTAATAAAGAAAACATTGCCTTTCAAAACCTAAATTATCGATATTAATAAAAGCCTAGTTGGCATGTCACCCTCACGTCACCAAAGGATGGCTGCCAGAAGATGGCCAGGCCAACAGGGAGGGCAATTGTGGGCATTCAGGCCAGTAGGGGAGGGTAGTTGGGGGCAACTGGGCTGGCAGGGGAGGGCAGCTGGGGGGAACCGGGATTGCAGGTGGGGGCAGTTAAAGGCGACCAGGCCAGCAGGGGAAGGCAGTTAGGGGCAACCAGACTGGCAGGGGAGGACAATTGGGGGCCATCAGCTGGCAGGGGAGGGCATTTGGGGGCGAGATCAAGCTGGCAGAGGAGGGCAGTTGGGGATGACCAGGCCAGCAGGGGATGGCAGTTGGGGGCGATCAGGCTGGCAGGAGAGGGCAGTTGGCAGGCCTAAACTGGCAGTTGGACATCCCCCGAGGGGTCCCAGATTGGAGAGGATGCAGGCTGGGCTGAGGAACACCTGCCTGGTGCATGAAATTTCATGCACCGAGCCTTTCGTTAAATATGCTGAACATTACAGAAAAAGAGAGTTTTAGTAAGTTGCCCTGTGTGATACATTTTCTACATGTGACATGCCCATGGGATAACAGTCTTATGCAACTAAGACAATTAAAAATAGAAATTCTCAAATTTATTCTTTAGTAATTACACTTCATTAATTTAGTTTCCATTTACCTTCCAAACTTTGGTCCTGAGATTAGCAGGTAGAGGTCTCCCTTGAATTATATTTCTCAAAGTTTCAAGATCACAACCTCCTTCTTCCAGAGCTTCTTCAAGATCTTTTTCCCTAAAAAAAGCAAATCATACTTATTAAGAGATATTTTAATTCTTTTATTACATATTTCAGACTCATTTATAAGCATGACTGTTAAGGTTGCACCCAAGATAAAAACGTTCTCAGCAGCCAAAGTGCAATCAATACAAAGGCAAATACACAACATTTTGTTTTCAGGCTTCATACACTAAATTCACTCTTAATTTGCATTTAATTCTAACAAGCTTAGTTACCTGTTTCCTAAGATTAAAGAAATTTAAAAAGAGAAGGGCAAGCTGGCTGACAGCATTGAGAAGTCACAGTGAAAGCAGTATTCATAGTAGTAATGACTAACAATTTATATAGCACTAACTGTGTGCCAGGCACTGTTCTGAGCATTTCATTTTTTTTTTTTTTTTAATTTTCACAATAAGCCTGAGGTAGGTTACATTATTGGCCCCAGTTTAAAGATACAAAAATTGAGGCAAAGAGGAGTTATGTTGCTTGTGGTCACATGTCTAATAAATAGTTGGACCAGGATTCAAATTTTGAAAGAATGTATGCTCTTAACACTATGCTAGGAAATGGCAAGGAGGATAAACAAATTCAATTAGGAATTCAAAGCACTCCAGAATGAGAAGGGATAGTACATAACTATATAGATATATGACTAGAGCAGTGCCTGGCATACAGTGAATAGTCAATAAATGTTAGAGGAATAACAAAGGCTCTTATGGCACCACTGTATTAAAAGTAAAAAAATATCACATCAGTAAATTATCAAGTAAATCAACAGCAGTTATGTTCAGTCTATTATGTTTAAAAGAAAGGATGAAATACATTTTCTTTTCATTTGTATATGGTTAAAACAATAATTTTTAAAACTTCACAAAGGTATGAATTATTTTTTTGGCCAGGAAATAACTAATTTCTTCAGAATTCTCTAAACTGAAGTTTCAGTCATTATTTATAATTTTAGTATACAATACATAAGAAATCTGGAAAAATAAAAATCCATAACTCGGCTAGACAACTCATTTTAAGGAAAATAAATTATTCCCATTCCACATTCTTTCAATAAAGTGATGTAAACCTTTCTTATTGATAGGATTCCAGAAATATCTATTTAAATGTATAAATTTCCTAAAGTGTTGCCCTCTTAAGGTAAGAAAAATCCTATCTAATAAAGAGAGAATATGCTAATTGAACATCGCTCTGTCACAAAGACGGCTGCTCCCAGAGCTGAGGCCAAGTTCCCATAAGGAGCCTTAAAGACAATCAGCAGGGACGTGAGGCTACACCCTCCCCCGCCTGTGGAGCTCGACAGGGGACCTCAAGCTGCCCCCTCACCGGGTGGGACTTGATGGGGGACCTCAAGGTGTGCTTCCCATCCTGGTGCTGGGCTAGGGGACCTCAGGCCACCCTCCCCACCTCAGCATTGGGCCAGGGGACCTGAGGATGCACCCTCCTGCCTGGCGGGGCTTGACAGGGGACCTCAAGGTGCACCCCCAGTGCTGGGTTAGGAGAATTCAGGCTGCGCCCCCCTGCCCAGTGGGGCCTGACAGGGACCTGAGGCTGTGATCCCTCCCGGTGCTGGGCAGGAAGATATGAGGCTGCTCACCTCCCCCCACCTGGCAGAGCTTGATGGGGAATCTCGGGCCATGCCCCCAACCCAGCAGGGCTTGACAAGGGATCTTAGGCCATTACCCCCCTCCCCGCGGGGCTTCATGGGGAACCTCAAGGCATGCCCCCTGCCCTGGGCTGGGCTGGGAGACCTCAGGCCATGCCCCACGTCCTGGCGCCAGGCCAAGGGACCTGAGGCTCCATCCCCTGCCAGGTGGGGCTTCACAAGGGTGAGACTAGCTTCTGGATCTAGCCCAATGGGGGTGGGGGTGGGGTGCAGCCAGGTCTGTGTCTCACGTGATTTTAAGGTGCATGTGGGTAGGCGGGGACTTGACTCTGGGTCCCGTTGTGTGCCCCAGATTCTGACAGGAGGAAGGTTTTCATATACATTTTACTAATTTTCTTTAATCTCTGACACTTCTATTATAAAGGGCAAATAGCAATATTAAATTATTTCCTCTAATTAACCCCCTTTTAATGTGCACAAATTTAATGCACCAGGGCACTAGTCCTATGTAATAAAACCTTAATATGCAAATCGGCCAAGTGGCAAAATGACTGGTCGCTATGATGCGCACTGACCACTGTTGTTGAGTGTCTATTCCCTAGTGGTGAGTGACTCTCAGCCAGAAGCTGGGCTCACGGCTGCTGAGCACAGCTGCATGGCAGCAGCCTCTCCTGCCTCTGCAGCAGCACTAAGGATGTCTGACTGACAGCTTAGGCCTGCTTCTGAGCCTAGGCTGGCAGTCAGACATCCCCTGAGGGCTCCTAGACTGCAAGAGGGCACAGGCCAGGCTGAGAGATCCCCACCCAACCCCCCGAGTGCACGAGTTTCGTGTACCAGGTCTCTAGTTCTTCAATAAGCAGAAGCCATGAAAACAACTACTTTTAATATTACTGGACAGTAGCTAACTTTCATTACTATCATTTTTTTAATCCTCACCCAAGGATATCCTTTCCATCTATTTCTTTTTTTTAGAGAGAGAGGAGATGGGGGAGAGAGAGGAAAAGAAATCTATGTGAGAGACTCATTGATTGGAGGCAATCCTGCACCACCCCAATCGAGATTGAACCTGCCCTGACCAGCAATCAAACCCACAACAACTTTGGTCCGAGGACCGACGCTCCAACCAAACAGTCCAGGGCAAATTTAACCTTTTTGTTATTGTAATATAATCATTTTAGAAAAATTGGACAATGCATTAAAAAAGTAAAAACCAACCACAATTCCAATACCATGAAAGAACTACTATTCACATTCATTACTTTTCTTCATATATATATATATATATATATATATATATATATATATATGTGTGTGTGTGTGTGTGTGTGTGTGTGTTTGTAAATGTGTGTGCGCGTGTGTGTGCATGTACAGAGATATATATAAAACAAAACTGGATTATCCTAATTATATAAATTTATCCTGTAGGATTCACTTATCTATATTTTTCAAAAAAAGTTATGAACAGCCGAAACCGGTTTGGCTCAGTGGATAGAGCATCGGCCTGCAGACTGAAAGGTCCCGGGTTCGATTCTGGGCAAGGGCATGTACCTTGGTTGCGGGCACATCCCCAGTAGAGGGTGTGCAAGAGGCAGCTGATCGATGATTCTCTCTCATCGATTTTTCTAACTCTCTATCCCTCTCTCTTCCTCTCTATAAAAAAGCAATAAAAATAAAAAAGTTATGAACATTTCTCCAAGCCATTCAATACTCTTTTTAAGTTGGATTTTTAATGGCTAATTGATTTGGCTATTCCTCTATAGCAGTGTTTCCCAAAGTGTGGTATGTGTTCCCCCAGGGGTACGGGAAGAGTTTGGTGGGGATATGCACTGCACCGTGCTTAGCTGCGCCTAATTCTACGTTCTCATGAGTATGAGGGGAACTCATACTCAGTGTTACGAAAATTATAGAAGAAGTACACATATGTCAAAAGTTTGGGAAACACTGCTCTAGAGTTTGGTATTCAGGCACTTTCTAAAATTTCCTTGCATTAACCTTTCCCACTCATCCTTTACACAAATTCCCTCAAGAATTATTCAATAAATATATTTTAACATTAAAAGATACTTAATACAGACATAAAAACTTAGAATTATGGTGATATTCATTAGAACAAAAACCAAAATTGTGAAAGGTAGCTACTTCTGAAAAATGAGATAGAAATGAGACTTTCACTCCTCACAGAGCATAAGTCAGTACAACATGAGTATAATATGTACTATATTTGTATGTGCTGCTTGAATATTTAAATATTATGAATTCCTCTTTAATATTTATACCCTTTCACTAAGCAATAATTGGGGATGAGTAAAATGATTCAGTTACGATCATGTTAAAAAGCAATCCTATATAATAAAGAGGTGATATGCAGATTGACCATCACTCCAACACACAAGATGGCCACACCCATGTGGACATCAGATGACTGCCACAAGATGGCCAATAGGGGAGGGCAGTTATGGGTGATTGGGGCAGCAGGAGAAGGCAGTTGGAAGGGACCAGGCCTTTAAGGGAGGGCAGTTAAGGATGACCAGGCCTGCAGGGGAGGGCAGTTGGGGGCGAGATCAGGCTGTCAGGGGAGGGCAGTTGGGGCGATTGGGCTGGCAGGAGATGGTTAGGGGATGCTCAGGCTGGCAGGCAGAAGCGGTTAGGGGCAATCAGGCAGGCAGGCGAGGGGTTAAGAGCCAGCAGTTCTGGATTGTGAGAGGGATGTCCAACTGCCGGTTTAGGCCTGGTCCCACAGGGCCTAAACCGGCAGTTGGACATCCCCTGAGGGGTCCCAGATTGAAGAGGGTGCAGGCTTGGTGAGGGACAACCTCCCACCCCCAGTGCATGAATTTCATGCACTGGGCCTCTAGAGTGTGTGTGTGTGTGTGTGTGTGTGTGTGTTTTAAAAATATATATTTGATAATTTTACAGAGAGGAAGGGAAAAGGATAGAGATTTAGAAACATTGATGTGAGAGAAACATCGATCAGCTGCCTCTTGCACACCTACTTGAGATATTGCTCGCAACCAAGGTACATGCCCTTGACCAGAATCGAACCTGGGACCCTTCAGTCCACAGGCTGATGCTCTTATCCACTGAGCCAAATCAATCAGGGCTCTTGTGTTTTGTTTTGTGTTTTTTTTTTTTTTTAATTTCTTTATTGATTAAGGTGTTACATATGTGTCCTTATTCCTCCATTAACACCCCCCCCCCCCAATCCCACTCATGCCCTCACCCCCCTGTTGTCTGTGTCCATTGGTTAGGCTTATGTGCATGCATACAAGTCCTTTGGTTGATCTCTCCCTCTTACCCCCACCCTCCCCTACCTTCCCTCTGAGGTTTGATGGTTTGATCAATGTTTCTCTGTCTCTGGATCTGTTTTTGTTCATCAGTTTATGAGTGAGATCATGTGATATTT